ATGAATTAGGCTTAAAGATGACTATAGAGCTGGTGATTTCTAATTCTATCACTTGAGGGGAATGGTAGTTGTAGTAGTAGCCCTAACAATAGGAATAAGCATTAGTAGTGGTGGCAGCAGCAGTAATGATGACATTTTTAGGATGTATGCTATGTGCCTGCACTGCCAAATTCCTCTCCTACATTCACTTCTTTCTTCAGTTTATTTTTACTTTTAAGATTTATTTATTGAAAAAAAGATTTATTTAATGAGAGATAGAGAGGGAGCACACTTGCACGCAAAAGGAGGGAGAGGAGCAGAGAGGGAGTGACAAAGAATCTCAAGCAGATTCCCCAGCCAGCAGGGAGGCCATTTCATTGGGCTCTGTCCCAGGACCCTGAGAGCATGACCTGAGCTGAAATAAGAATCCAAAGCTTAACCGACTGAGCTACTCAGGTGCCCCTTTGGTATCATTCAGGACTCAGATGTTCAGTATTCCTTTTTTGGAAACAACAACAAACCTCTCAAGTTTGTAGCTGTCCTCCCCATAAAACAGAATCTAGAACTGCAAAGTGATTTGTGCTTAGAGATGAACATAGCACAGGTGGCTTTGAATCCTAACTCCCACTGGTGGGTCGTGCTGCTGGCTGGTGGTAGTAGTAACAGCAGTAACAGTAATGAAAATAGCAGTCGCGGTAGCACTGGTGCTTATCCTGTCATTTGGATAACATACTATGTACTTGCCCTGTGTGAAACACTTTCCATATATTCTTCCATTTAATCCTTTGACAGATGGAAAAGTCGAGGTTCAGGAAAGTTAAAATCACACCACTGACATGGGCAGGACCGGAGCTTGACCCGCACCCTCAGCTCTGTGTGCTTCCCGGGCCTGTGCTCTTTGCCTCCGTGTTACACCAACCATGAAGATCTTTTCTGCCTCTCTGGCCAACACAAAATTCTGAAAACAGATCTCTTCCTCTCTCTTTTTTTTTAAATTAAAATATAATCAACAGGTAACAGTATAAGTGTAAGGTGTACAGAGTGTTGTTTGATCCACTTGTGTATTGTAATATGGTTACCATGGTAGCATTAATACTTCAATCATGTCACATAATTATCCTTTCTTTTTTGTGGTAGGAACAATTAAGATCTAGTCTCTTGGCAACTTTGAAGTTTATAATACAATATTATGGGCTGTACTCACTGTGCTCTGTGTTAGATCTCCAGGACCTAACCCATCTTACTAGTTCCAGGTTTGTAACCTGAACAAATCTCATTCTTGAGGCTTATGACCTAAAATATAAGCAACTTCCCACTGGGCATCTCAACATCTATGCCTGAATGACACCCCAAATAACACATTATCTACAATGAACTTTGAAATCTCCTTAACCCCTCTGTGTGCCACAACCACTGTTTCTACTGTATCCTGTATTGTGTAAACACTGCCTCCTGCTAACCTGTCCTCCCCTGTACTGCATGGGTGTCCCTCATTTTCCTTGACTCCTCCCCCTCCAAGCCCTTGATGCAGCTAATTGCTTACATCCTGTTAAGTCTCTCAGCAATGTACTTCCTTTCTTTCAATCCCCATGCTGCTCCCAGTCTGACAGGAGCCCTCAGCTATCTCACCTGGATCCCCACAGACACATGGCAGCTGCTCTCCCCCCTTCATCCTAACCTCCCATCCCTTCCCAGGCCCACAGGCACTCCCTTCGAGTCCACCTTCAATCTTAGTCTAGAAGTTACCTATTCTGATATGATAGCCCCTCTCCGACCCCCAGAAGTCTGAATGAGGTGTCTTTTCTCTTTTGATGTCCTAAAACTCCCATATATGTTGCCATGTAATGGAGGATGAAAAGACATAATTTATATTAACATGATTTTGTACTGGAAAAGCACTGAATTGGCATTTAGGAAACTCAGGTTAGCTCTGTATTAGCCAATCTTCTGGAGCTCACTTTGTAAGCACAGTAGCATGACATTAGGGCCATGGGTTTCAGTTAGTGTCATCATTTGTTTTTTTGTTTTAGAACTCCATTGTTAGGCTTTTCTCTGGAAGGACCTAAATCTCGAAGCTAAAATTGATAAAAATGTGAAATCCAGGGTATGGCATAGCCCAGAGGCTCAGCTGGAGCTCCCTGTCCTCCTTCCCAGCTTCTGAAGGGTCCTGGAGATGCAAGGAGTACATTTTGAAAATGCTGGCCCTACAGGATCTCAAGGATGTCTTCCAGGAAGCATAGACCCCTTGTGCCTTCAAATACTCCTTTTAATTAATTTTCTTAAAGAGACCCTTCGGTTCTGTGCTGTTATACATCTGAAGTCTTAACTGACTTAAAATTTGGTGAATTGCAAATCTGGAAAGGGAGAAAAAGGTGAGGGCGGGCCATCTGTAATTCCGAAGTCTTTCTCCTTTGCCACCTAATGAGTTTTAAACAATGACCATGCTAGAACTTTTATAAGACAAACTAGATAGCTACTGCCATCTTTAGTTGGCAGTGGCTTTTACAATCTACTGGAAAACATCAGATTAGCACTGTTGCTATTGGGCATTGTGTTCTCATATAAAATATGTAACCTTCCAGGCAGAAAGGATTCTGGAAGCATCATTAGCCTTCTTTGTACATTTGTCCATCTGCAGGCAAATGGGCAGCCATTAAAACTCTTCACATGAACCTAGATGTATGAGGAAAAATAGTACTGCAGAACTTCACTGTCTTGTACAATAGCCACTAACTAGCAACATGTGGCTATGGACCACTTTCAATGTGCTTAGTCCAAATTGTGGTGGACCATAAGCAAAACATATACCAAATTTCAAAGAGTTACTTCTAAAACAAGTAACAGATCTCATTAATAGGTTTTGCTATTGATCACATGTCAGAGTGATAATTATTTTAGATACATTGGCTTAAATAAAATGTTACTAAAATTAACTTTACCTTCCTCTTTTTACTGTTTTTTATGAAAATACTTAAAATTACATAAGTGGTTTGCTTTATATTTCTGTTGGACAGTGCTGCAGAAAGTTAATGATTCCAAAAAATATTAAACCTAGAAAGTGTCCCACAAACTTGGAAGTGTTGCACAGGGTCAAATCCTAAACATCTAAAGGTAGTGTCTATATGCTACAGTTTCAGAGCTCTGAAGAAGTAAGGAAGTCCAGGTTCCATCCTTTTATATCCAAATGCTGTGTGATTACCAGCATCATGGTCTAATAAGCCAAATGGAATTTACCAAAATTCTTCCCTTTACTGTGCCTGTTTCAAAGGCCCACAAATCGATTGCTAGTGTAGACTCCTGAAGTTAGCCTCCTTAAAACTAGTAGGTGATGGAACAGGGATCCTACTCCATTCAGAGCCTCATAGATCTGCTATAGAGGTCTTTATGAATCCAGCCAACCAAAAGGGACACTTTTCTCCTAACCCAACGCCCTTTGGGGATTTGCGAGAAGACCCTGGGAGCAGTACTAGTATGAATAAAAATTATACAACTATGGTTTCCTCTTAAGAGTTTTTCTGCCACATAACCATTTCTCGTTTGATTTGATAGTTTTTCTCCCAATAAGTACCTGGTAGGCCATATTTTTTTCAGACATTCAACAAATATTTATTGTCAGTCCTATGCCAGGTACTATTCTAGGCCTTAGAGATAATCCAGATAAAACAGGACAAATGGAGTGAACATCCTAGAAATACACTCTACGGCTAAGTTGTAAATTAGGGGGGGATATTATTTGGGGTTCTGTCAAGTGCCTTTTATTTATGACATGTCAAGTTAACCTTTGGCTTGTAAGATATTTTATCTCCGCAAAGGACTTGAGAATTTACCTTCTTAGCTTTCATTAGATTCATCACTTCCTCCGAAAAGGGAGATAGTGTCCTGGGGAGGGAGGGCAGCAGCCACTCATGGTGTGTTTTCTCTTTTTACTTTCCCTTTCATAGCCTGCAATGAGCAGGTAATTTTCTCCCACAGGAAAGCTAGGCATGGAAACACTTTCTTACCTAATTGGATGTAACTTTACTGCTGTAATTACAGTGATTTCGGAAGCTGGGTTTAATTAAAATACGAATCCAGACTCTGAAAGACTAAGTACTTTGCCACTCAAGTATAGGTACACGCAGGTCGAAAAGAATGTACATGAGGAAAGATGTCTAAGGGTTTTTCTTTTAACGCATTGTTTTAGTAGTAGTAAAATGGTGGAGGATTGTACAGCACCTCTTTGGGAGCTTTATGTTTTAATGTTTTATACCAAAGGTCAACAATTCATAATAATTGTGTGACAGGGAAGCACTCAGCCAGATGGATGCCAGGATACACTTCTCCCCCTGTGGATAGGACCCCATTTACCTTTATAAGAGCTAGATGCATTGCTGTGCTTCCCTTCAAAGTGATTTCCACAGTGCCCTTCTCTGCCTGGGCACCTATGACTTTTTATTTATTTTAAGATTTATTTATTTGTTTATTCATGGAGACAGAGAGAGAGAGAAAGAGAGAGAGAGGCCGAGACACAGGCAGAGGGAGAAGCAGGCTCCATGCTGGGAGCCCGACGTGGGACTCAATCCCGGGTCTTCAGGATCATGCCCTGGACTGAAGGCGGCGCTAAACCTCTGAGCCACCCGGGCTGCCTGCACCTATGACTCTTAGTGTGTCTCCTCATCCAAGATGGAAGCAGAATGGAACCTTCCAGCGTCCCCATCGGCATTCTACCTCCTTTCTCTTATTCCTGGTTTTCCTATTCTCTCTTGAGATCCATGCTATTAATTGGTTGATGTATTAAATTTCCTATAGCTTGGAGCCAGTTGTGCTTTTTTTAAGATTAAGAAATTGCCCCTTAGCTTCATGTTCAATAGATTTCTCTTTATCATGATTCTGTCTGAAAGAACGTAGAACATCCTGTGTGGCATTTCACTGATCGGACTTTTTTTTTCTGTTGGTGACTGATGACTTCAGTTGCTGAATAGCTTTGAACACCTTTCCTCTCTACCTGCATTTTCACCCTAACATTGCAATATGTTTTTCAGGTTTTCAATTCAAGAACAGCCGAACTACTTAGTCATCACCAAGTGGAAATAAAACAAGAGTTTCCAAGAGAAGGGTACGTTCCCTGATTTACTATGTAAAGCTACCTTGTATTTATTAATCCATCTCACCTTACCTGCCCAGTGGCCTTGTAAGGTAAACTTGACCGAACCCCTCCTGAGAAGGCTTGAGAGATAGGTTTTAGTCAAGGAAAGAAGCAGTACCTCAGTGGCTCAGCAAAAACATATGGGTGATTGACGGCTTGGGAATTCAGTGACAGGAAAGGAAGCGATAATAAAGTAGCAAGGCAGAGGAGCATTAAATAACAGAAATTCCACATTGACCTCGAAGGCATTTAGTTCTATGTCCATCCTTGGCAAACACTGCTTTGCTGATTGGAGTGTAAACATTCACATATCTTATCATCTAATGCTAAAATCACCCTTCTTGGAATAATGTGCATATGTAGTAGTTGTGATTAAATAGAATTCTAAGTATATTATTTAAAAGTTAATGATGTTTATGATACAACTACTTTGAAAAACGGCGGCAGTTTCTTATGAAATCAGCCATATATCTGCAGATTCTGCTCTTAGGAATTTATCCAAGAGAAATGAAAGCGGAAAGCATATGGCTATAGAAAGATATACATGAATGTTTATAGCAGCTTTGTTCATAATAGCCCAAACTGGAAACAACCCAAATGTCTGTCATCTATAGAATGGATAACAGTGAAATACCATGAGGCAATTTTTAAAAAGTGAACTGATGCATGCCACAACATGGTTGATTTGTATTAATATCATGAAACATGAACAAAGCTGAACACAAAGGAGTACACACTGCATGGCTGTATCTGAGATATAAGAAGAGACTAAGGTAATCTAAGATAATAGAAATCCAAAAATTGATTGCCTGTGGACTATGTGATTGACTTGAAAGAGGCATGAAAGAACTTTCAGGAGCAACAGAAATAATTCTGTATCTTGATTGGGATGGTGGTTAGATGGGGACATACATTTGTTAAAACTCAACAGATTATGCACTTTTGATCTATTTATTTTACTTAACAACTAAATGCAATTTAAGAAAGAGAAAAAAAACTTGATGCCCTACCAAATTTTAGTATTTCCTTTTCATGAAAAATGTTCTCCTGCATTTTAGAGAATTATTTTATTTTATTTATTTTTTTATTTTTTAAAAGGTTTTGTTTTTTTTTTTCATTCATGAGAGACACACAGAGAGAGAGAGGCAGAGACATAGGCAGAGGGAGAAGCAGGCTCCCTGCAAGGATCCCGATTCGGGACTCAATCCCAGGATCCCAGGATCATGACCTGAGCCAAAGGCAGATGCTCAACCCCTGAGCCACCCAGGTGCCCCTCTCTCTAGAGTTATTTTAATAATGAAAGCTATTGATACCATACTAGCCTTAGAATGACTGTCCACAGGCCTAATCCCAGTGCAATTTGGAGAGAGCACCTAGGTCTTGAATGGACAAAAGTTAGAAATATGTGGAAGGAGCTTAAGTTTTTAGAAAAAGAATTTAGAGACTACTCAAAGCTCAGGAGAGCCAGGCAGGCTCAAGGAAGGCCAAGAAAAAAGGCATTTGGAATTCCCTTGGACTTCTAGATTGTAGGGTAGGATTTTTTAAATTTGGGTCCTTTCTACTTGTGGTTTTCCTCAATTGCCATTTTGGTTTTTTCCACACTTCTTTTCCTTGTGATTTATGATGAGCCTTTCATCTTTCTGAGGTCCTTGTACCTTACCAAAATGGCGCCAGGATTGGGTCTGAAAACTGGAAGCAATGCCTTGTCGACATGAAATAATTACTGGATGTAATTTAAATTTTTTCCCTAAATTCTCACAAAATATTTTGGGAGAAAAATGGCAAAAGAGATTAGTATACTTCTTTTCAGAATTCCTTTTGCTTCACAAATAAATAAGTACATACACAAACAAGTAAGTAAATAAGTAGATCAGTCACTGCCCCCATCCCAAGAGTGATATATGTATCTCAATCTACTTAGAAATAGCTAGTGACTAGTGAAAACATGCAGTTGGCTTATCAAAATTCATCAAAAGTCACAGGATCTAAAGAATTGGGGAGCTAATTTTTTATTAGATTCGAAAATAATTATTTAAAAGTAGGTAGAGTATCTGCTATTTATGGTCTGCCATTGCTTGCCTTCTTTCAAATGAGTAATTACTATGTGAAGAATGACAAAAATGTAAGGGAAATGGGCTTTTGTTTAAATCATTTCTTTGGAATACTGGTGATACTTTCCTTTGCTAATGTAATTTTCTTTGATTTGTGCACCTGCCACACCTTCATAAGCATACATATCTAGAGGAATAAGCTATGTTTATATTGCTTCCTTGTGGACTAACCAAATACATTCTTTTGTTCAAAGATGGGTGGAACAAGACCCTAAGGAAATTCTGCAGTCTGTCTATGAGTGTATAGAGAAAACGTGTGAGAAACTTGGACAGCTCAATATTGATATTTCCAACATAAAAGGTATTTTTAATAGAATATTTTTCTCCATGTATGATTATCTCAATTGAATTCAATCATTCATTCATTCAGCACATAGCCAAACACCTGTGCAATGGCAAGCATTTCTGTGCCAACTGAGGGAGTGACAATAAATGGGTAGATGAAATCCCTGTTCTCATGAAGCTTTCATTCCAGTGGGTGTAAGAGCAGGCAAATGCGAGCTGATCTCAGGTCCTGGGAAGCCCTGTGCAGGGGCTAAAACTGAGTTGATATTGTAGGGTGGTCCCAGAGAGGCTTACTTTAGATTGAACAGCTAGAGAAGGCTTCTCTAAGAAGTTGACACTGTTGCCAAGGTCTCAAAAGCCGAAAGGGGCCCACCATGCAGATGGCTGGGAGAAGAATGTGTAAGGAAAAGGAAGCAGCATGTGCAAAGGTCCTGAGGTGGGAATACGCTTGGCCTATTTCTTGGTTGGAAAAAGACCAGTGTGTGAAAAGTGGAGAAAAGGGTGAGGGTGGGGGTGGATCAGAGGTTTCAGTAGGAGCAGTAATCAGGGAAGCCAATAGGGCCTTGTCAGCCACAGTTAGGAGTTTGGGTGCTATTCTTAGTATCACGGGAAGCCGGCAGTGAGAAGGTTTTAAGCAAGGTGATGGGATGACACAATCTGACTTGCAGTTTAAAGACAACTTCCTCACTGCACTGTGGAGCCATGTGGGAGCGGACAGTAAAGGTCTGAGTGGCTGCTGTGGAAGTCCTGAGAAAGAGGATGGGGACCTGACTGGCAGTGGTAGCAGGGGAGGTGATTTGAAGGGGCAGAACTGGATGATACATTGGAATTCAGGGTAGTAGAGAGAGAAGTATTGTCAGGGGACGTGATTGGTCAAAGATGATGCTTGGGTTTTTGCTGGAGTCCCTAGATAGATTGGGGAACATGGGCAGTGGGGGGGGGGGTTGAAATGAAAGCATTTCACTTAGAGCATCTCCTTGAAATAACTGGAAGTGTTAGATTATTACAGGATCTGTATTAATTCCAAGTAGTTTATTGTTTTTGAAGATTTATTTATTTGAGAGGTGAAAGAGAGTGCAAGAGCATGAGCGGGGAGGGTGGCAGAGGGACAGGGAGCATTCTCAAGCAAACTTGGAGCTGAGCAGCAAGCCTGATGCAGGGAACAATCCTACAACCCTGAAATCATGCCCGGAGCCAAAATCCAGTCAGTGGCTTAACCAACTGAGCCACCCAGGCGCCCTTGTAGGTAGTTTGACCCCAAGTAAGGGCAACCATCAATTGGTGGTAGTGGTACCTTGATTCACATCATCTTGGCTATGAGATTTACCAGCACTCCTGAATTGAAACTTTGATTGTTCATTTTGGTGGAGATGCTGAGGAGAAACTTTGAATTTTTTTTCAGACTTTGCTCTATTTGTATAAATAAAACTTACTTTAAAAAGACTGAATGGAGCATCTAGATGGCACACTTGGTTAAGCATCTGACTCTTGGTTTCCACTGGGCTTGTGGACTTGAGCCTCATGCCGGGCTCTGTGCTCAGCAGGTAGTCTGCTTCGAATTCTCTCTGCCTCTCCTGCTCTGTTCTCTCTCTCTCTCTCTCTGTCTCAAATGGATTCATCTTTAAAAAAAGACTGAATGTTATCAAAATCACTTGTTCAGCAGACTCACATGCTGGGTATGCTAGGGAAACAGTGGAGCACAATAGGGTTGTGCCACCAACAGCCAAGTGAGGGAAGCACATGTTAATGCTATCACAAATTAATGGAATATCCTACCCCGTTTGCCCCTATATCAATGTGGAAGTGTTTCAAACTTCTTTTAGAGTATCACTCACCAAGTTCTAGATGAGTTGTGCAAATCAAAGTGATGGTTGGTTGTGTCCTTGAATTGTTCTCCCAGGTTTTCCAGCCTCAATGACCTAAACATATAGGAGGCATTCAGTAGTACACTCCATTGTCAAAATATCTTATTACCAAAGATAACTTCACAAACCACTTCACTTTTTTTTTCAAACCACTTCACTTTTTAGCTCTAGTGTAGCAAATAACTCTAGCTAAAAAGTGATTTATTTGTAGTCTTACCTATTAATCATTAAGAATTTATCATAGCTGGTTGTGTTTCTTTCAAAAAAATATTTTGCTTATTTTTTTAAAGATTTTATTTTTAAACAACACCTACGCCCTCTGCACCCAGCATGGGGCTCTGACTCAAAACCCTGAGATCAAGAGTCAGATGCTCCCCTGATTGAGCCAGCCAGGTGCCAATCGCTGGTTGTTTTCTTTTGCAGAACCTAGTTTGGTGTTAGTTGTCCTCCACCAGAAACTTTATAGATTTCGGTATGGATGAGCAATGTCTCCAAAATCAAAGTTCACTCAGTGCAACAGCACATAGGAGTCCAAGACAAGTAAATAGGGGGCTGCTTTTCTTCTTAGAGTGGGCAGCTCTGTTTAAGCCTGTCATTGAACTGAAGGTGCTATAAAGTTCATCCTCATGTGGTAGAAGCAAAATATAACATACACTGCTTTAACACTGAGACTATAGGGGCCCCTGGCTGGCTTAATCAGTAGAGCATGCAACTCTTGAGCTTGGGGTCATGAATTTAAACCTCAGGTTGAGTTATGAAGATTACTTTAAAAATAAATTTTAAAAACTCAGGAGCATAAAATTTTCAGCTGTTAAATTCCCTTGTATCCAAAGTAGTTAAGTAGTTACCACACTATTGGAGAAAAGGGAAACCACCCCCCACCCACTGCCTTGCCCTGCCAAACATCCACACACATTTCTGCCTTCTATCTACTCTCAGGGGGTCTCAGAAAGGTACCTTATTCTCCAAAATAGCTTCCCAGCTGTGGCTGGATCTCATTTCCAATTGTTATAACGTGCCTCAAGCACACATCTTCCAGAGACTGTTTTTCTTAGAGCTTTACACCTCTTCCCATATGGCACTTTTAGTAGCCCCAGAGCCTTCCTCCAGGGTTCTTATTTCATTTTGGGTGGTTTTAGAGTTTTGGGTTTTTTTCGCCCTAAAAACTTGTTCCAATTATAAATTATGACTTAATTTTTTTTATTTATTTTTTTAAAGATTTTATTTATTGATTTTTAAAGTGGGTTCTAGGCCCAACATGGGGCTTGAACTCAGTACCCTAAGATCAGAGTTGCATGCTCTACTGACTGAGCCAGCCAGGTGCCCTGATTTTATTTTTAAATAAGGATGCATACCATCCATAATTCTACCAACTATTATAACACCCTACAGTATTTTCAAAGTCTTTTTCTAAGTATATTTTCTTAACTATGATCATAGCTTTTCACAGGCAATATTAAGCAAAATTGAACCAGAGATTTTGAAGTTAGCATTTGACTAGCTAATTTTACTCGCAGCACTCACTGTCCAGAAAAATACCTCCTGAGAAAGAACATGCAGGTGAAGCTTGAACTTCCTAGATACAGTGTACTGCATTGGGTTTTATATATGCCAATGATGATAGTATCTGTAACTAAAAGACTATGGGACCAGGAAATTATACATACTTGAGACATGTAACTCTCATATGCTCCTAAGTGGGAGATAAACCAGGGTAGAGAATTACAGGACCTGAATATGTAATTCTGAGAAAGAAGGAATTAAAAATTAGGCACTATTTAGAGAAGCATGTGTGCTGGGATTGGCAAAAAGTTTTGTTTTTATTTAAATTTAATTAACATATTGTATTACTAGTTTCAGAGGTAGTAGAGTTGTTTTTTAAAGATTATTTGAGTGGGGGTGCCTGGGTGGCTCAGTTAGCTAGGCGTTTGCCTTTTTGGCTCAGGTTATGATTCTGGAGTCTCAGGATCAAGATCTACATAGGGCTCCCTGCTCTGCAGGGAGTTTGCTTCTCCCTCTGCTCCTCACCCAACTCGTTCTCTCCCCCCACCCCTCTCTCCTCCAAATAAATAAATAAATAATAAAATCTTTTTAAAAAAAGTATTTGAGAGAGAGCATGTGCACACACAAACACGAGTGGGGGGGGGGCGAGCAGAGGGAGAAAGAGAAGCTGACTCCCCACTGAGCACAGAGCTCATCATGGTGCTCAGTCTCACAACCTGAGATCATGACCTGAGCTGAAATCAAGAGTCTGCTGCTCAAGAAACTGAGCCACCCAGGTACCCCAGAAAAGTTATCTTTTCTTTTTTTTAAAGATTTTTATTTATTCATGAAAGATAGGAGAAGCAGGCTCCCAATGGGGAGCCTGAAGCAGAATTTGATCCCAGGACCCCAGGATCACGAACCAAAGGCAGACGCTCAACCACTGAGCCACTAAGATGCCCCTAGAAAAGTTTTCTTAAAAAAAAAAAAAAAAAAAAAAAAGGGTGCCTGGCTGGCCCCGTAGGTAGAGCATGTGAGTCTTGATCTCAGGGCCATGAGTTCAAGCCCCACATAAAACAAACCTTAAAAAAATACAGAGGATTTTAGGGTAAAATAGATGTTGGAACACTGAAAAAGTTCAGAAGAACTACATAGAGCCTGCGTGCGCTGGGGAGAAATCAGTAATGGAGATGTGTTTATGGCAGCAGGAGAATCCTAAGAAGCTATTTCGCTGGACTTTGATCGTCTGCAAGAAAAGCAATTTTACTTAGGACAAAGGAACCGAATTAACATAGAAGGAAAAGAAAGAGTGGTCAGGGAGGAATCTGTGACCAATGAGTCAGATAGAAATAGCTCTCAATTACATTCTGAATGTAAGTTAGAATGAGGCAATAAAGAAAGGTAGCCCAAAGGATGTAGGATAGTGACTCAGAGACTGTGGCTAAGCGAGCAGCCAGTCTATTTATGGAAAATTAATGTAGTAGGGAAAAATAGGAGATTTTACTGGACTATGAATTCATTGTGATCTCACAGTGTAAAGTTGTCAGAGAACTATTATGTTCACAGTATTCCAATTTAGCAGTCTGTTGCTGAGGTCCAACTGAGTTCTCTGGTCTCTGTATTGTGTCCACAGTGCTGCCGGGAAATTCCTTTATGAGTCCTGCTTAGCTCAGTCCCATTCTCTGCAACTATTAGTTCACTCTCTCCTCAGCAATATTGATGAGAATTAGGGGTACCTGGTGGCTCAGTCAGTTAAGTGACCAACTCCTGGTTTCCGCTCAGGTGGTAATCTCATGATTTGTGGGATCAAGCCCTGTGTCGGATCTGAGCTCAGTGTGGCATCTGCTTGAGTCTCTTTCTGCCCCTCCCGCTCGTGCTTTTTCTTACTCTAAAATAAATTAATTAAAAATAATATTTTAACAATGAACAGAAGCAGTAAGAAACATTTATTGAGCAGTTATTATGTGCCAAGCACTGTTGTAATACATAGTAACTCACTGTAACCCTGTTAGGTGGGAACTATTCTCCAATTTACAGAAGATAAAACAGATTGAGATCCAGGGTCCTGCTGCTAGGAAACAGGAATTTGAATTTGAACCCCAGCAGTCTGGCTTCAGAACCTGAGCTCTATTTGAATGATGCCCCAAACTCATGATCCTAATTTGCTTGACCCCATTTGAGCAGATAACCTTGTGTGCTACTTCACAGAGAACATTGAGGCTCTGGGGCCTTAATTCCTCATTTCCTTTCCCCATACTTGGATAAAGGTTATTTAGATGAACTGTTAGCCGGACTCCCTAAAAACAAAAGAAAGGGCTCAAATAAATAAATGAAAGGGAGGAAGTTACAACTGATACCAAAGAAATACAAAGCATCATAAGGGAATGCTATGAACAATTCTAGGTAAATAAATTGGACAACCTAGAAGAAATTGATACATTCCTGGAAACCTACAGTCTTCCCAGACTGAATTACAAAGGTATAGAAAATCAGAATAGGCCAAACATTAGCAAGGAGTTTGAATCAGTAATCAAAAACTAAACTAAATTGAGCTAAAAAGCTTACTGCACAGCAAAGGAAACCATCAACAAAATAAGCAACCTACTAAATGGGAAAATATATTTGCAAATCATTTATCTGATAAGGGGTTAATACCAAAGCTACAAAGAATCCATACAACTCAATAGCAAACAGATAGTCTGATTAAAAAATGATCACAGGACCCAAATGTCTTTTTTCCAGAGAAGTCATACACATGGCCAATAGGCACCTGAAAAGATGCTCATCATCGCTCATTTTCAGGCAAATGCAAATCAAAATCCCAATGAAATAATCACACCACACCTATCAGAATAGCTATTCTCAAAACCATGACAACTGTTGGTGTGTTGGTGAGGTTGTGGAGGAAAGGGAACCCTCGTGCACTGTTAGTGGGAATGCAAACTGGTGCAGCCACTGTGGAAAACAGTATGGAGGTTTCTCCAAAAACTAAAAACAGAACTACCATATGATCCAGCAATTTTACTTCTGGGTATTTATCCAAAGAAAATGAAAACACTAATTCAAAAAGATAAATACACCCTTATGTTCATTGCAGTGACTCACAATAGCCAAGATATGTAAACAACCAAAGTGTCCTTTGATGGATGAATATACAATGGAATATTATTCAGTCATAAAATGAAATCTTGTCATTTGTGACAACATGTATGGACCTTAAGGGTATGCTAAGTGAAATAAGTCAGACAGGAAGACAAATGCTGTAGGACTTTACTTTTATGTGGAATTTTAAGAACAACATGAACAAAACAAAACTCATAGGTGCAGAAATCAGATTGGTGGTTGCTGGGGGGAGGGCCCAAAATGGGAGAAGGGAGTTGAGGTACAAACTTCAGTCATAAAATAAATAAGTCATGGGGATATGAGGTGCAGCATGATGACTATAGTCAACAATATTGTATTGCATATTATGTAACTTTGTATGGTAACAAGAGGATACTAGATTTACTGTGATCTCTGCAGTGTATCCAGTCATTATGTTGTATACTTGAAACTAATGTTTTGTGTCAACTATGTACCTTAATAAAAAACTATGTAGCTCATTTTCCACAGGCCAGTTTTCATTGCTCTCTATTACATATAAAATCCCCTTACAGTAAAGTCTAAGTAATTACTTTTTAGTTTAGATTCTAGTGTATGGTTTTAAAAATAAACTGTTGTTTTGAGCTTTAAAACAAAGATTATTTAGAACAAGGGAACTATTGGTTCCCCGTCAACTCTGTGCTATTCAGAACATTCCAGTTATGTTTTATTCTAGGTATACAATTTGAACAATCTGGACAGAAAGTTGTGTGTTCCTAGGGGAGGTGGTCAAGGGACTTTCAGTCATACCACGTGGAAGGGGGCCTGGCTGGCTCAGTCAGTAGAACATCTGACTCTTGATCTTAGGGTTGTGAGCTTGAGCCCCATGCCGGGCATAGGGATTACTTAAAATAAAAATAAACCATACCATATGGTGGGAGCAGTAGAAGGAAATTGGACTGTTTAGCTTATATAGGGGAAAAGAAGACCTGAGAGACCATACAACTGCCTCAAGTTTATGAAAAACTCACATATAAAAGTATTAATCTTATTGCATGTATCTCCAAAGACTGTAGCTAAGATCTGTAGGTGAAAGCTACAAGGAAGAGGATTTTTTTTAAAAAACAAAGTTGTGAATAAAGATTGGTCTGCCTCGAGAGGTACTGAATATTTTGTCACTAGAAGTGCTGTCTGAATGGTCACATGAGGAGTCGTTTTGGGGGAAATTTAACCGGAAGATCTGTCTATTATTGATTATGTAGCCTTTAAAGTCGGTCTTCACCTTACATTCTGAAAGAGTTCAATCCTTCAGGCCAGTGCGTTCAACCCAGGCTGCACGGTAGAATCACTCGGGGAACTTTAAGGAAAAATAGTAATGCTCAGATCCTACTCCGTCTGTTAAATTGGAATGTTTGGGTCATGGCCTGGGCATTGATGTTTTTTTTTAAAGCTCTCCAGTTGATTCTAATGTACAGCCAAGTCTGAGAACCTGTGAGTTAGCTGAATCAAGCTGAATTGAGTAAAATGGTATGGATTAGTGTTTTACTTATAGTAACTGTAACTATGGCATTTGAGTCCTATGAAGGTCAGTGTAATGTAAATGCCATCACATGTTGTATTTATGCCTGATTCAAATTCATATGTCTTACAACATATTCAAATATGAGAACAAAACAATTCCCAAAGAACCACCATAGGAGGTTGCCCAGCCTGAAGGATTTTATCTGTTTTCTTAAAATGCAGGTGCATGCATGCACAGAGAGAGAAATCGCTTATAGCAATTAGTAAATAAATGGATGAGATGATTGTTGGTCTCCTTAGAATAATAAATTGGGCACTGTAAATTTGGACTTAGTGCATTCCCTTTTTTATAAGGTAACCTGGGAGCCTTTCATTTGGATATTGATCTGGGTTCATTTTGTGCTGGTAGTGAGGCAGGAAGCAGTCTGTAGAAATAAAAAGAAGCTCTTGACAGTGGGTGTTTACTTTTCCTGGAGCCACTCACAGACAGTATATTCAGTACCACGACAAAAGTGCCAAATGTTTTTTCAAACTGTTATGTTTAGTTATGCCTATTAAAAAGAAAACATGAGAACTATTCTCCTGAAGTAGTTTTCTACTTGTTTAATTTGTACTCCCTTCTGTTAAATTTTCTCTTTCAAGCTATTGGTGTCAGTAACCAGAGGGAAACCACTGTAGTCTGGGACAAGTTAACTGGAGAGCCACTCTACAATGCTGTGGGTAAGCTGTTATTCATGGATGTCAAATGAGAGGCCTTTCTCCACTTGCAGACACAGTCACCCTGAAAGGTCTGGCTGAGAAAGCATGTGGTCATGTTTCCTAGACTCAGATGGGATGGGCACGTATAGTCCTCTAAGAAATCAGTTTTTAGGTATTTACCATCTTCTGGTATTTATTCACATCTTAAATTAACTTTTCCCCTTGTTTCCTCCTTTTCTTGATTATTTGTATCATACAAATGGTTCAGTGTTGCCCGAACTGTTTCATGGTCCCTGTTGCTTATGAAACCTAAAAGAGATCCCGCCTCCTCCCCTTAAAAATCGAAATTACACATGTTCACATACCTCTCTCTATAAAGTACTTGTGTACTTGTTTTCCCATCTGGTAATTTGAATGGACTCACCTGAGGTTCTGAAAATAAAATCTCAAAATTTTAGCTCCTTCTGCTACACATTTGGCTATTTCAACTGGGGTTCCAAAACTCAAAATCTCAAATACACCAACATTAGCTATTACATCTTACTTAAATGTAAATAACCATGAGCATATTGTAGTATTCTCTTCGCACATGACATTAGGTACTAAATGACACTGTCATTTGCTAAAAGGAAACTTCTGTTGTAAATATACAGTCACTAAAACACATCATTCTGTTCACAAATAACAAAACACAATTTTTTGTCAATAAAATACCAGGTTGTGAGGTGTGGAATGGAGGTAAAAATTGTCAGAGATGGTATGATTTTTAGAGTGAGCTATTTTTACTTTATAGTTACTTTAATATTGATTGGAAGAAAGTGATCTTTGAGCGGAAAATACACTAAAACGGTGCCTGGTAAGAGTAGCATAAAACCTTTGGAAATAATCTTTGTAAAAAATTAGATATTTGCTGTAATTGTGTTATTAGAGACAATTTAGTATATCTTCAGTACTTTGTTTAAAAAAATTAAAGACTCAGAAAATGTCAATTGTAACTATAGGTCCTGTTACACAAAAGTACACGTTTTAAATCTTTATTTTGTTCTCATTCTCATGAGCAAATCATTTTGAATATAAGCAAAGCAGGATATTACAGTTTTAATAACTGATACCTAGGGGGTATTCTTTCATGGATCACTATTAGCCAACATCTTGAACTAGTTAGGTTTTGCTTTTTTTTTTCCGTGGGGGAAAAGGATGGACCTTCTCAAAAGAACCAGAAAGCTCCTGTTAAACTCTAAACTTTAAAAAAAAAAAATAAAATAAAATAAATAAATAAACTCTAAACTTTGAGTTGTAAAAATGCAACTTTGGACTTTGACTTGTCATTTTAAAATAATGCAACTAGCTTAGTGGAAGTTATAGTAAAAGATTTAAGTAAATATTTCACCAGAAATAACTTTGTTTTCTGATTTGCTTATGTAGTCATTTCCTTTTCTTCTACCTTTGTCCCTCTGTGCCCCATCCTATGTGCTTTTCAGTATTAATTTCTACTGCACCTATGGGATATGAGGAATTTTTTTCTTTTTTTTCTTTTTTTTAAAAGATTTTATTTATTTATTCAGAGAGAGAGAGGGGCAGAGACATAGGCAGGGGGAGAAGCAGGCACCATACAGAGAGCCTGACGACGTGGGACTCCATCCCGGGGCTGCAGGCGGCGCTAAACTGCTGCGCCACCGGGGCTGCCTGAGGAATTTTTTTTCAATACTGAACCATGCACATGTCTTGAGAACCTCTTATGTTTGGTGCTATACTACATGTGTTATAGAGATTATGAGTTATTGGGCAGTTTTATAAGAGGCTAATACAAAATTAGGGAATAGTTGATAAGCTATGCTGATAAAAATGAATAGGAATTAGAGGAAGTACACGTTAGTATGGATTTTGAATTTTGGGCATACTTCTGCAGGAGCTTGAACTCCATTTTAGGGCTTGTAGAATGTGTTGGATTATATTAGGAAAAGGGAATATTGAAGGCTAGTGTGAACAAGCGATGAAGGTGAAAATGTCTATACAATATTTCACCAAAGAGTGAAGAGACTGATCAGATTCGTGGGTAGGATGGCTTCTTTATTAGTTTTAATAAAACTAGCAATGATAATAATGCTCAGTAAGTGCTAACATTACTGTGTACTAAGGATTTTGCTAAACACTTCATCCCTATTATTTAATCTCAATGACCCTGAAGCAGGTTTTACTTGCCTTTTCTTACAAACGAATTAGGGGGGATGGAGGGGGCAGCTACATACCTTGTCCAAGGCCGTATAGCTGTAAATAGAGGTAAAGCCACAGTTTGAACATAAACCTCTAACCCCAAAGCCTATTTTGGATAAAAAGGGGTTGGGGAGGATATAGAAGGCACTGAAAGCCATGCGCTGGGTAACATGGGACAAAATGAGTAATAAAGGAGAATGCACCTTCCCTTATGGAGGAATGGGTTGGTTCAAATGTACCTTTCGACTGAGAACAGTTCAAGAAGTTAGACAAAACAAAAGAAAACTCTGTCTGAGGGACTTGAAGGCTACCAAGGCAGTGAGGAATTATAGGACCAAGATCCAGGAGAGAAGGAAAGCCTAGAGAGATAAACCTGGCATTCAGTGCTGCTTATTCCATAGAAATACTGTTAGATTCTAAAAGGAGTATCTGAGGCTAAGCAGCATTTTCATAGGTTCATGGAAATAGGGAGGCAAAAGGCAGTTAGGCTGCCATGGGTAGAGATGAATAGGGGCAAAATCCTAGACTTTTGATTGTGATTGTGATGGGCCAACCCAAAAAGTGAGGTAAACTGGAAATACTCTGTCACAGGAAGTAAAGCCCAGATTCAAGTAATTTAAAGCACTGAGCAGATTATGATGATCTAAGATTGCTAATGCTCTTAGCCTAACTTCCTTTCAGAAACAAAAATGAACCCTTTTTGGAGGAAGATTATCTCTAGAGTTTTTCATATATGATTTTTAGTTTTCTACTAAAAAAAAGAATCAAGCATACAAAACATGACTAAAAACCAACAGAAACAAATAACCTTAAAAACCAACCCATAGGAAATCCCGATATTAGAGTTCTCAGTCTTTAAAGTAATAAATGTTCAAGGAATTGCTTGACAAAATTAATCACCTTAGCCAAGAGTTGGGAATTTAAAAATAGAAATTCTGGAGCTGTGTTAAAAGCTCAGTTGATGAGTTTTGCAAAAGATTAGACACAGCTGGAGATGAATCAGTAAACTGGGAGAGAGACCAGAAGTAAATATCCAGACTAGAGCACAGAGAGATAAAGGTTTAGAAAACAGAGAGGAATCTAGGAGAAAGATGGAGTAAGGTGAGGAGGTCTAATATATTTGTCACTGGAGTCCCAGGAGAAGAGGAAAGAGAAATGATAAGGTTTTTCAAAACTGTTGAAAGCTATCACAGATTCAAGAAGCACTGTGATTCCCAGGCAAGATAAATACAGAAAGCCATATATAAATATACTTAGAGACCTGAAGATAAAAAGAAAAATGTTTATGTAGCCAGAGGATACGACCTTCAGGAGTGCCACACTGACTTTCAATTGATTTCTCAATGGAAACAAAGTAAGTCAGAATACAATAGAATGAAATCTCTAAAATGCTTTTATGACTATAACTTCCACCTAGGATTCTATACCTGTGAAAATATTCTTACATAATTAAGGTGAAATATAAAGGCAAAGACAAACAAAAAAACAGATAAAAATCATTGCAAGCAAACCCCCACCGAAAGAAAAACTAAGCACTGTTTTTTCATGTAGAAGGGAAATGGTCTCACCCAGGAGTCTGGCAATGTTATAAGGAATGGAAAGCTCTAGAAAGGGTCAGTCTAAATGAATTTTGATGGCATGAAACAATAACATTTTATGATCAAAATACATTAAGTATTAAAATGCACGGCAGCAGTGGTACATGAAAGGAATTTGGGGCAGACGAGTCTAAACTGTTTTCTGGTCCTTGTATCATCAAGGATGCGTGTTGCAATAATTTCGGGGAAACAATGAGAGTAAAATAATGTGTAATTAACAAGCTTATAAAGGGGAAATACTGAATGATTTTTTTTAAAAAGGCAAGGAAAGAATAAGAAATGTGAAACAGGAAGGAAGGACATATAGAAAGCATTTAAATCCAAATATGTAAATAAGTATATGAAAAAGGACAAGATTTGTTTCTCCACCATAAATTCTGGCAAAGGGGTTGAGACTGCTAATCAGTGGATGGGATTAGTGCCAAGACATTGGAGAGAAGGCAAGCTGGAGAGGCCTTTCAGAGGAAAGATATCACCTGTATGTTTATAAATCAGATAGGGCATAAAGATAAGGCGGGGTGGGGGGGAGACAGAGCTGCAGATTTTTAGCCTGAGAGAACAGAAGGAAATATTTAAGGAGTGCCAGCCTGGGAGAAGAATGGCTTGCTTCTTTGAACGAGGTGAGTATTGGACTTGTAATCAAAGCTCATTTATGGGCAATTAAGTTTGTGGCTCTTTTATAAAGAGATTGTTCAAATGTAAGATGGAGACTTAAAGTCGGCACCGGACAGTCGCAGTTTATTATAGATGACTTCACTATAGGAATGAATGTAAATTATTCAACAAGAGTCAAAGAACCCTTCTGGGTACAGGTTCTGTAATGAGTCCTAGGCATCTAGTGACAAACCAGGCAGGCCCCGTGCTTGCCTTTGTGACTCAGAGGGCCAAGGAGGGGAATCTGGAAGTAAAAAGGAGGAAGGCAGATAGAAAAGGAGGAGAGAGGAGGAGTAATTGCCTGAGAAGGGAAGCCACTCCGTCATGCCAAGGATAGATTCCGCCTCCAATTTTATGTCACCCGAGAAAATGCTAAGGTGTCATACCTCCACGCAAGTCTCAGTTGAGAACATCAACATAGTGTTAAATCTTCGGCAGCTTTCTCTTAACACAAGGTGGGGTTGGTGGAAACAGAATCAGATTTTCACATATCTTTGTCTTTGAGCTTCGTCTTTGTTTATATCACAGTCTGTGTTTTATTCTCTCTCCTCTCTCTTTGTCCCTCTGTCACTCTAGTCCTGTCCTCCTCTTCATCTCCCTCTTTACTCAATTATGTAACTGATGAGCAGTGTTTGCTATAGACAGGCCAATGAGAGAAGCAGTCTACACTTCTCTTTTTAAAAATTGCTTTTTTTATGTGGTCTTCTTGTTTATGGCCCAAGGCATCTGTGATAAGCGATCAGCTCACTCATCCCCAGTACCAGGACAGAGGTAGGAAGCCTTCAGGGTCCTATTTGTGGATCTGAAATACACTTGATGAAGAAGTTAAAGACTAAGAAAGCCTATTTTTTCTTGCTTCCAATAAAAGTGTGTGTGTTTACTGACGTCTTTTATAACAGTTATAAGCACAGAAAAAAAAAAACATTTAAATCTGTCCATTGAGGCACCGATGGCTAGTTCCATACAGTTTTAGAATTTGTGTGCTAATTGTGTGGTGGGCGAGGTAAACATTGGTGTGGTACCTAAAATAGAGCAGTGTCACTTTGCATCACTGCTCTGCGATCACTGTGCCCTGATGCAGCCGTTGATTCTGATGGCCCCGGGTGGACTGCAGGAGCTTTGTGGCCCTGGATCCTTTGGCTGTCTTCACTCATCCTTGCGAGGCTTTTTTCTCTCCCTCTTAGCATTCCCTTCATCAGTATTCTTTTCCAAGGACTTCCCTGCACCCCAATCCCTACTATTTTTCTAAGCCTTTTCCTCCCAAAACCAGTTCTTATTAGTGGTCTAGAGACCTTGCAGTCTCCTAAGAATTAGTGAAAGAAAGGTTGGGGTTTACAAATACACCACAGACGAAACTGAACACAACTACAACTGCACAGCCAAGCCCAAAACCACTGAAGTGGTAGGAAAAGGCTTGGATCAGTGATGTTTAATATCTTCGTGTGCAATTTCACTGATGCTGCCAGTGAAACATTCTGGCCTAACGAGGATGGCCCAACTGTTTTTCTGTCCTTCTTGGACAGTTTTTGTCACTCGGTTACTTACACTTGATGAGTGTGCATGGCAAGCCTAAGTGCAATATGACCTTGCTCCAGTAGCTTTCTGTAGAGCATAATTCATGATGTAATATAAAAATATGCATATTAAAGACTAATATCCAGAGAGGCAAGAGTCACTGATTTGAGACCCTTAGTATATGAAAGAAAACCACTAACAAGAATAATTTGTCCTCAAATTTTCTTTATTTAAATGGTATTGCAAACATTTATTTCTAAGATGTTGGATTTAAAGTATCCTGTGGGGCTCCTGACTGGCTCAGTCAGTGGAACACGTGATTCTTGTTCATGGGATTGTAAATTCGACCCTCATGTTAGGTGTAGAGATTACTTCAAATAAAATCTTCAAAAATAAAAAATAAAAATAGGGGCCCCTGAGTGGTTCAGTTGATTGAGCGTCTGACTTGATTTCTGCTCAGGTCATGAGATCAAGCCCCATGCTGGCTCTGCACTTGATACAGAGTCTGCTTGTCTTTATCCCTCTCTGCTCCTCCTCCCACTCTCTCCCTCTCTCAAATAAATTAAAAAAATAAAATATTAAAAAAAAATAAAGTTCCTATATAGCTCTTCATGCAGTGTTGCAGTTGTAGACATTGATCATCCTTTTTGCCTTTTTTAGTTTTTACATACTGGTTAACCCCGGGCCAATGATTAAACCCGTGTAATCATCTGTCAAGATCTGAAGGAACCTTGAGCTCAACTTTTTTTAACCTTTTCTGGGACTGGATTATGTTTCAGAGTATCAGCATGAAAAAAAACCATAAATGGCAAGCTACCTAAAATTTGGAAGCACACTTGTCTTGAAACAACAAAAGTGTGGTTTTGTTTTTATTGCTGTGCTTTGGAAGGGAGCAAATTTTTTTTTACTTTTGTAAAAATCTGGAATATTCAGCTTGATCAAGATATACTTAATTTCTCCTTATTTCGAGTCCTTTATTACAAAATTCTTTGAATGCCTTACATTTCCTTCAATCCAGGGTATAAAAGAAAATTTCTGTGTATTTTGCAATTGATACTTCAACTCTGGCCAATTTAAAGAGAAACTGACTGAATCTGATTTCAACTTTGAAGTTTCTGATCTTTAATATTTCTTTATATTCTGTTTAAGACTTTGAATTCATTCTGGCTTATCTGTGTCGTAGGGGTTTCATGCTGGATTCAGACTGTGAGTTTAAATCCTGGCTTTTCCACTTACTACCATTCTGTGCAGTTAAATTGGAGAAATTGAAAGTGTGAACCTCCTAGGCATGAGGTAAAAAGAAGTGAGTTAATATGTGTAGAGTACTTAGAGTTCCTAGCAAATTAGAAGGCTTCAGTAAGTGTTAGCCATGGCCACTGTTCTGAACTGGCTGATAGTCTTTTTAAAATTCAGGAATGCCAGATGGAATGATTGATTTATACATGACAGGTGTTCTTCGGAGAAATGCAAAGCTTACCTGGGTCACAGACACCTGTGTCAGTCATCAGCATTCCAGCATTTATTCACCCAAGAGCTGAAATACTTTTCAGCCCCAAGGTGTGGCACATATATGTTTAAATCACCCCCCTCCCTAATGCTCCATTTTTCTTTTGGCCCCAGGTGATTTCTGAAAATGCCATCAGGTGAGGGACAGTCATCGATTATAGTCTCTTCTCCTTGGCAAGTGACCTCTTGCCCAGCTTAATTAATAGCTTAACTTTTGGCAAGTGATAACACATAGCAATTAAATCTGGTTTACTATTATCCTCTCTCGTGGGGGAAGCAAGCTGATAGTACTTTGTGTAACCGTCAGCAGTCCTTGCTTAGGGCGAGCTCTGTAACCTGGGGCCTCACCTTCGGGTCATTCCCTGTGTGACTGGTAGCTCCACACAGTCAGCCCTCTCAGAGATGTATTATTTGCCTTTGCTTCTAGTCCATTGAAAAACTCAGATGATTTCTAGTTAATTTTCAATTTTTTTCTTAGGTACTTTTCCCTTCTATTTTTACGACTAACCAAAAATGATGCAAATTTAAGTATTCTGAAAGTCATTTCTTCCTCTGTACTGTCACTGCATCTCCAAACTGACCCTGGTCTGTGGGCATTGAGGTAACTGCATATCTCTTCACTCTTAAAACTTTGGTTTTTCAGACCAGACTAAATCTAAACAGAGCTATATTTTGGTTGCGACTTTATTTAATACAAATGAAAGTTTATCTTGTCATCCAACTGGGTTTAAAAAAAAAACTTTCTCATTTCATGGTTTGAACCATTTAAATCAGATTTACTGGGTCTGAATAAGGGACATGCCTTATAAAAAGCAGGCTGTATGGTGTTCTGGACTCCCTAGCATCTATTTTCCTTCTTTTTTTGTTGTTTTTTTTTTCCAAATTACTTTAGAACTTAGAAGTTCCTGTTCCCTCTAGCCACGTTTTTCCTGTTTGTGGTGGTGGGCTTCACCTCCTGCTAACCCTACCACGGAAGTACTTTCTTGGGGCCTTGCCTTCCCAAAGCAGCCTTTTCACATCTCCCTATAAATCACCCCAACAGAGATTGTGGCGCACTCCTTAGCGTTCCTTTCTAAGGAACAGTCCATGACCTTTCGATTCAGATTCACTGGTCGCTGGTCAGGTGAGCAGTCAGTAACCGGCGGAGCCACTTTTCTAAGGAGGGTACAGATACATTGCCAGGTAGGGAAGACTCATCCTAAAGTACAAGCACATATTACCTGGTCTTTGTCCTCATGGGTGAAGTCCCCCGAACTGGAGAATCTGACCCGACTGCCTTCGACTGCCTTCGTTTCCTTTCTACTCCTTGGCTCTTCCTTTCTTTTTCTATGCTCAAATGCATAGAAAATGTTCGTTCTGATTAACTCGCCCAAGTGATCTGCCATTTCCTAAGTGGTCAGCGAGACAACACAGACCTTGAATCTGGCCACCTCTAGCATGAATTGCCATTATTTCTCCTAATGCTCCAGCTGCTCCAGTTTCTCCTGGTCCTTCAGATCCAGTTGCCGCCGTCCCCTCTGGCTCTGCAGTTCCAGCTGCTGGCACTTCCTCAGGTATCTGGCGCTCCGGCCCCTGCTCACTCCTGGCCTTCCGACCCAGACCCAGACACGTGATGGGGGAAATTGACCACCGCTGCTGGATCTGGATCTGGCACTTCTTTTGATTGTTCTCAGAAATCACCTCCACCGGGGGCACAGTCCTCCAGCTTGGGGTCTTCTCTTTGGCTTTTGGTCTCTTCGTCTGCAAATCTAATTCTGCCATCTTAGCTTCTTTAATGAGTTTTCTAATTTTTTTTGTTCTTAATTCAATTAATTTTTGAGCATTTGTGAATTGTTTGGTAGTGTATCAACCACTGACATTTTTCTCCTTGGCAGTTGTACTAATTCATTCCATGTTATTCTAATTGCCTTAAACTCTGGGGCTATAAAAACAAAGTGAATCTGCCAGCCTTCTGTGATGGTGGAATACTGGTGGGAGAGGGACTACGGACACCATCTAGTCTCACTGCCTTATTTTATATTCAGGAAATCTAAGCCATGAGAGGTGAAATAACTTGCTTAAGTCACATAACTTGCTGGTGGCAAAATCTGAAGACCTAGAACTTTGGTCTCCTGATTTCATGCCCAGTGTTTTGACTCTTTTTGGTGAGGGATTGATTCTGTGGATTCCACTGTGGAGACTTCCAAGCTCTCAAGTGAAGAGTAAAGTGTCCAGTTATGTAAGTGGTCCTTGTCCAGGAGCAATAGAGTCGCAGAGCCACTGGAACTCCAGGGAACCACCTGGTCATCAGTTTGTCATTTTGTTTTTAAAGAAATAACTGGAACAAATTCTATATCCTAAATATCATGCCCTAGAAAATTTTTTAAGATTTTATTTATTTATTCATGAGAGACACAGAGAGAGGCAGAGAGACAAGCAGACTTCCTGTGGGGATCCCGATGCAGGACTTGATTCCAGGACCCAGGGATCATGACCTGAGCCAAAGGCAGATGCTCAACCACTGAGCCACCCAGGTGCCTCTGGCTGGCACATTTAAAAGACATATTTCTGGGCTCCCTCCCTGGGCCTACTTTTCTAGAATATCAGGGAATGGGGTCCATCCTTAAGCTCCCTAGTAACTCTTTACATTAAAATACAGAAAAGCCCTGATCTAGGAGGCTTTGAGCCATTAAACAGCCTAGAACAATGACTTTCAGGTCCTTTGTTCATGTCTCTTAATAAGAAAGCTATTTTATATCATGATTCATCAAACTCACATAACTAAAAAGTTTCACAAGTCCATTCTTAGCCTTACTGAGTTCAGTGAACTCTCTTATTCTAATCCATCCTATTTTGTTTTTTTTTAAAAGTAAGTAGTTGAATCACACTTGATTGATTTTAAACCCCCCAGTCCGGTGTAGCTCTAAACACTGAGAATTGAGATGTGTTTGTTGATTCTACCTGTCATGGACTCAAACCTTCTCTCTGGAATTCCTCTCCTTTTCCCAGTTAGTCCTGCTAGTACCTGCTGGGGTTGCTTGCCTAATGAGGAAGGTCTGCTTTTGCCACAGTCATGCAATCCCGCCCCTGTGTGCAAAGTGGACTGCCTCGGTTCCCTGAGCATGGGGGTGCTTGCCCACTCCATGCTGCTGCTGCTGCTAATGAGCTTATATCAATCACAATGCAAGTAATAGAAAACTCAACCCTCACTAAATAAAGTAAAACAATTTTTTAAAGTAATTCTTTAGTTCCTGGAACCAGCAATGCAACAGGAGCTTAGTTCAGGTGCTAATTCTAGACTCAGACAATATGACCTGGATTCCCCACAAATCTTTTTCTGGGATGGCTCCAGATGTGGCCAGTTCAGCTCCTCTCTTCATGGGGACAGCAGTCCCAGCCATACACTGCCTAGTAGAGCTGAGGAGAGGGGCCCTGTCAGACTGAGCACAAACCTCCATTGGGCTGATTAGACTCCACTCTCTACTGAATCAGTCACCGGGATCGGGACATGATGCTGGAGCTACGGGTAGGGTTAAATCTCCGGCAAACCACATGGCTGAGGATGAGGGAGAGACAATTTCCTGAATAGAATTTGAGATACTTCCCAGGAGCAAGAGGAATATGTGGTGGGCGGCAAATGCAGGTGTGCTGTATAGGCCATGCATTCCCCTGGTGTTCCTCTCTGTCTTCTCTTTCCTCAGTTGTGAGGAGCCTTTTCTCACTGCTTTTCACACCTGTGGAAACCAGTCTATTGTCCTGAAGTAGCCACTGTCAAAATCAAGCTCAGGCAGCCCTCGGGGGAAATGACAGTTGAGGTAATTAGAAAGAACTGATTAAAACTCACTACAGAAAAGAACTGGTTTTTAAATGAAAAGACAGGAATAGTCTAGTTAAGGGTAAACCAAACTATGCAATTAAGTGGCCAGCATTCACGTGTGCAGTGGGCAAGCCTGTTTTATCTTCCCTGGTGCCCTGTAAATAAACTATGGGCCTGAGGCTTTTCAGGAGGCATCTGAGCACAGTCCGTGCCAAAAATAATCTGTTAGTGACTACTAACAGATTAAAAGTGATGGAAATTAAGTACAAAACTTAAATCTGACAAAGAAAAGTCAGCTGACCTATTGGTTACCTTTCACAGTTGCTTTATGTGATACCTTTTCTTTCTCAGGCCTGCTGTCATGAAGCAGAACAGAAATATTTTCTACTAGAGGTTCTGAAAGTGGACGATAGTTACTTAGTATAAATAATGATCTCTTAAAACAGATTTTTTTACAATCTAGTGTGGAGCAAGAATGCTGACCTTTAAACAATTCTTTTAACAATTCTGGCTTTTAGCCTACTTTTGCAATGGAAGAGTTTAACAAGTACATAAGCATTTCATATATAAGAAACTGAATCTTCACTTTTTCCTTCAATAAATAGTACCAGGTTCTCTGCTTTGTCACAAATTGCTCCCAAGTTTTCTAAAATACCTGCTTTATACCCAGTATGGTGATCCTGAGCTATGTATCCTGCCCCGGCGACTAGCCTGCCGAGCATTTAGACTTGGTCTTTACTCATGTATTCTTAGAAAATTCTTATCCAAAACATTTTTTCATTGTTTTTTTTTTTCTATAAAAAGGATACAAAATAAGTACCTTAAGGTTTGTATTACTCTCCTAACTTGGTCTGTAATTTGGCATAAAAGCTTTAAATTCTTCCTCTTAAATTTATTCTTTTTTCTAACAATATACCCATTCATTTCTAATTTTCTAATTTCTATCTTTTGAAACCTCTAGCATTTTAATTGCTTATGGAAACTAATCAGTATCCTGTCCTTGACAATGATTTCATTAAGATCTGATTTTTTTAAACGAAGTTTTTCATATATGTTATTATATTTTGGTCTATAGTGTGGCTTGATCTAAGAACCCAGTCTACCGTTGAGAATCTTAGTAAGAGAATTCCAGGAAATAATAACTTTGTCAAGGTAAGAGATCTCTTTAAAAGTATACTATAAGAATGCTTGTTTAAAAAAAGGGTTTAGAGATTTCAACTGAAAGACTATTTGGGCCTTACATCCTTTTGCATAATAGTTAATTGATACATTTTACAGACTATTTCTCTGCAGACAATTGAGGACAGCTCAAGTATTTACCTTCCTGTCTTCATGCCTTAAGGTGGATTAGAGCATTCATATTCTGCGGTTGATAGGCTGGAGGGGATTATAAAATAGTGTCCTAGTGGCTTAAACCATACTCCCTCATGTTTTCTTCTATCTGTCAAAGAAAGTTCTGGATGCTTTTTACTTTTTAGGCATCTGGATTCAGGGAGAAAAAGTTAAAAGACACTAGCCCCTCACTGAACTCCTTTTCCACTTTCTTCCTATGAAGAAGGCTGATAAAAAGTGCCTGTATTTCAATCTATATGTAGAGCTCTCTTCAGTTAAGTGGAGAGAATTTTTGAAATAGGCAAGGTATTTTTCTTAGGAAGGTCAAGGCCCACTTCTAACATCCAAAGGAAGTTCTCTTTTTTTGGTTTATCCCCTTTATATTTATTTGTCAGTGGGACTCTTAGGACAGTGGTTCTTGGTTCTGAAACAAATCCCATTAATTGTAGCAATTTAACAAACCATTCCCTGCCTTTGCCCTGGGAATAACTTCAGGCTAGTCCTGAATATACCCTTACCCATTTCCTATTCTGTTCCTCCTTGTCACCCTGCCCAACCCTCACCCCCACCTCCAGCTGCACTTGCTTCAAGGGGTACATGTTTTTCTCTTCAATGCCATTTTAGTCAACTTCTACACTTGCTACCTAAATCATTCAAATGGGATATTATCAACTACCTCACTGTTGGCTTTGTGTGATGACCCTTGGTCCTTCAAATCAAAGAGGAATAATCCGATACATTATTTCCTTTCATTATTTTTGAGTATTGATCTTATTTTTTTTCTAGGAAAGCTAGAAAACCATGAGTTAAAAGAGTCTTAAAGAGTGCATTAAATTATTAAATGGTTTGGTTTGAATCTTTCTACCAAACATATCCATAGCAGATAAGAAGGAAAAAGGTATCACTTTCTGTACTTAGGTAATAAATCAAGAGACTAAGGATTAGGGGAGGGGAGAAAGAGTTGCATTATTTTGGTGTATATATCTTCTTAGCCACTTTCATCAGCCCTTGTAAATATATTTGGTGTTTAATATACTAACAGAAATAATAGTTGAACCTGATCCATTCTCAAGGAAGATTGATAAGCCCATATGTGTCTTATATTTACCATTTATCCTTTATTCAATACATCCTCTCTTTATTTAATGTACTAGCTGAGTTTTTAGGCAACTACTTTCTTATAGATAGTGACTCACTATTGCTTTCATCTGGCATGTCCTTGAGCTCTACTTTATTCTTCACTTATGTTATTTGAATATGTATGTGTTTATGTATATATCACTTAGAATATATATTTTTTACACATATAAGTATATTGTTAAGCCTTCTATATTAAAACAAATTTTCTAGTTATGGTCATTAGTTTATGATGCGATATGCTCTCTGATTTTTAATAGTTTAAAATATCACTTTCATGAACTAGAAAATGAAAAAGCAGAGTTTCAGACTGGGTTCTGCATGTAATACTCATCACAAAAGCTAACATCTACGTGTTCACTATCTAGATTACAGGGTGTTGTGTCATTTAATTCTCTTTATCTTGCAACGTGGATGCTCTTTGAACTGCAAACATATCATGTTGATCTTTGTTCATGAACATGCCTTCCTGTGCCACAAGATAGGAAAAAATTTTTATCCATAATACCATGGGATTGACTTTTGGGCCATTGAATATTTTGTGATTTGTGGAGTTTGTTGGTTTGGTGTTTTATTTTTTAAACTGTTGGGAATTTAATTTGCTGGCTGAATTTCATAACTGTTTTTAGTCCAAGACAGGCCTTCCACTTAGCACTTACTTCAGTGCCGTGAAACTTCGTTGGCTCCTTGACAATGTGAGAAAAGTTCAAAAGGCTGTTGAAGAAGATAGAGCTCTTTTTGGGACCATTGATTCATGGCTTATTTGGGTACGTTTAAATAGAATGTATATATGGAGAAAGTTTTTCAGAAATTTTTTAGACTGGCTTGCCTACTCTCTGTTTTGTACTAAGAGTTCAAGCTTTTTTTAAGGTTTATTCATTTATTTGTTGGCTGGGGGGCGGCGGGGGGCTTGTGTGCATGCGTGAGTGGGGTTGGGGGAGGGACGGAGGGAGAGAATCTTAAGCCGGCTCCATGCCCAGCATGGAACTGATGCCAGTTTGATCTCACAACCCTGAGATCATGACCAGAGCCAAAATTAAGAGTCAAACACTCAACCAACTGAGCCACCCAGGCACCCTGAATTCAGACTTTTTCATTGGCAAAATTATTAAGAAAAGTCACTCAAGAGACAGCAGAACATTTCAGCCTCCATTTAAGAGACATTTTTGCCTACTTCCTCCTTATTTTTCTTGCTTTATTTTCATAAAAATGGAGGGTGATTACCAAAACCACATCTCATATCTATTATCTTTAGAATAAGTAATTTAAGTAATTAGTAATTTAGGTAGTCTTTTTCTCTTGCCTTTCATAAGCTCTTTTCCAGTGGTCATTTCTTAAAAAAAGTAACAATTTAACGTAATAGAACATCTATGTGACTTTTATCATTTGCTTTCAGCATTGCACAGCTGTCTCTAATTAAGCCATAATACGAAAAATCATAGTGGGATTTCGATGTATAATCGTTTTGCCTAAGCTGAACACAGAAGAGTAAAAAACTCACATTTTAGACGTTTCCCAGAGTTATCTTAAAAGTGCATGTTCTCTCTCACTTTGTCTCTTTTGTTCTCTGTTATTTTTATTATGGCCATTTCCAAATGTACCCAAAAGCAGAGGGGACAGTGTAATGAACTTCTGCAACAGTGGGCCAGCTACAGCAATCAACTATGGCCAGTCTTGTTTCAATTATATTCATATCTTCTTTCTCCCCACAGATAATTGTAAAGTAAATCCCATACATATAATTTCATTTGTAATTACTTCAGTAAGTATGTGATTATCTTTTTCAACATTCAAGAGAGCTTCAGGGGAATATTGTCCCTATTCTCTCTTGCCACATCCCCAGAGCACATCTTCCAGAACCAGTACCAGGAAGTGGCACTTTTTCCACCCCTCCCTGGGCTTGGTGCTCCCTTGGCCCGCAGTTTCCATACCTGTCACAGTTGAAATAGTTCAAATAGTTCCAGACAACAGTTCTGACAATCAGTTGCTTGAAACCAGAGTAAGGTCAGGGTGTGGCACCTGTGAGCTGCAGGAGATGGGGGAGCTCATAGGGTGCAGGGCAGGGACCTATTCCTCGGATGCCCAGATGTCTTTTCTCGCTTTTGTTCCATTCTTACTTACTGCTCCCACACAAAAGAAAGCAGCAGTGCTTTCAGCTCAGGCCCGAGGGTATTAACACTAGAGAATTTAAAACCCTGCTTTCAGGATACATGCGTGGGTAGGCACAACCCAATGACAATTATGATTCCAAAAAAAATAAAAACAGAGAAATGGCAACACAGAGGTCTGTGAGATCCTGAAAAGGCAGGCATATTGATATATTTCACTTTGCCAAATTTAGTAAGAGTGCATTTTCCAAAGATAATGGATAAAAATAAAACAGATTTTTTTTGTTTAACCATCAGTTTACTAGAACTCTTGCTGTCGGGATCCCTGGGTGGCGCAGCGCTTTGGCGCCTTCCTTTGGCCCGGGGCGCGATCCTGGAGACCCGGGGTCGAATCCCACGTCAGGCTCCTTGCATGGAGCCTGCTTCTCCCTCTGCCTGTGTCTCTGCCTCTCTGTCTCTCTCTGTGTGACTATCATGAATAAATAAATAAAATCTTTAAAAAAAAAAAAAAGAACTCTTGCTGTCTAATATCATTGCTGGTTGAGCACATGTGGCTATCAAGCACTTGAAATGTAACTAGTCTGAATCAAGATGTGCTATGAGTGTAAAATAAAATATACACTGGACTTAAATAGGTAAAATGTTAGGGCGCCTGACTGGCTCTCAATCAGTAGAACACACAACTCTTGATCTGGGGTTGTGAGTTCAAGCCCTGTGCTCAGTGTAGATATTACTTAAAAATAAATAAATATGGCAGCCTGGGTGGCTCAGCAGTTTAGCGCCACCTTCAGCGTGATCCTGGAGATCCCATATTGGGCTCCCTGCATGGAGCCTGCTTCTCCCTCTGCCTGTGTCTCTGCCTTTCTCTGTACATCTCTCTGTGTCTCTCATGAGTAAATAAATAAAATTTTTAAAAAAATATTTAAAAATAAATACATAATACATACATACATAGGTAAAATGTCTCAGTAATTATTTTTTATGTTAAAAGGATATTTTGGGGGGTGCCTGATTGGCTCAGCCAGTGGATCATATGACTACTGATCTCAGGGTTATAGGTTCAAGCCCCATGTTGGGTGTAGAGATTACTTAAATAATAATAATAATAATAATATAATAATAATAATAATAAATCTTAAATAAATGAATGGATATTTGGGATATATCAGGTTAAATAAAATATATAGTGTTATTAGAATTAATTTCACCTGCTTCTTTATACTTTTTAAATGTAGCTACTAGAAAATTTAAAATTACATAGGTAGCTAGCATTATATTTCTATTGGACACCACTGGAAACCAGAAAATTAAATAATTGAAACGTACCATTCTCCTGCTTTATGCACTCTGCTGCTTATTATGGTCCTTGGCAACATGTAAATTAAATTGCAGATTAGGGAGTGCCTCAGTCAGTTTGAGCATCTGACTCTTGATTTCGTCTCAGGCTCAAGTCATGATCTCAGGGTCTGGGAATCAAGCCCTGTGTCTGGCTCTGTGCTCAGTGAGGAGTCTGCTTGTGGATTCTCTCTTGCTCTCTCCTTCTGCCCCTCCCCCAGCTCACATATTCTCTCTCAACTAAATAAATCTTTTTAAAAATAAAAATAAGTAAATAGCAAATAAGTACAAATCTAACATGTCCTTTTATTCTGTCTAGAGTTTGACAGGAGGGGCCAATGGAGGCGTCCATTGTACGGATGTAACAAATGCAAGTAGGACAATGCTTTTCAACATTCATTCTCTGGAATGGGATAAAGAGCTCTGCGAGTGAGTTGTGTTTTGCCCTAAGAAGCACTTCCCAATATATTACCTATATATAACCTAAGTCTTAGTATTTTCAGATGTTGGTAGAACACCAAACTTTAATTGTTGATATTTCAACTATAGTATGCAAGTCTGTACTGTGTATTCAAAGAAGAGACTATTGTTGCATATATAGCAAACAGGCAAAATTAATTGTCTTGTTTAGGAAGATTAAGTTTCTTTAGAAAAGTACTTTGTTTTCTGGGTGCTTCTTAGTTTTTATTGGTTTCTATAAAGTTAGAATGTTAAATATCCAAACATACAACTATGTTGTCCTGGCTTATTTTTTTTTAAGATTTTATTTATTTATTCATAGATGCAGAGAGAGAGAGAGAGGCAGAGACATAGGCAGAGGGAGAAGCAGGCTCCATGCAGAGAGCCTGATGTGGGACTCGATCCAGAGTCTCCAGGATCACGCCCTGGGCTGCAGGCGGCGCTAAACCGCTGCGCCACCGGGGCTGCCCTGTCCTGGCTTATTTAATTCTGCACTCCAATACATCCATTTTTTAATTGCTATTTACATTTTTTGCCTTTAAATCCATATAAATGTTTCTAGATATTTATTTAAAATAGTGATATATACCCAATCCTATCTTACTGTTTTCCAGATTTTTTGAAATTCCAATGAAAATTCTTCCAAATGTCCGGAGTTCTTCTGAGATCTATGGCCTAATGGTAAAAAAAAAAAAAAAAAAAAAAAAATTAATTTCATTTTTAAAAAAGCTTTGCTATTCAGAATTCAAAGATAAGTTGTATTATGTTTTCTAGTTTGATAACTTAAAAATTTTAGAATCCTTCTTACCAGTTGATTTTATATTTTATAAACATTAATTGGCTTTTCTTTGAGTATTCTAAAGTATTAATGCAAAAATCTAACTACAGAGGGTAGCATGGGAATGTTTGAGCTTGTTTATTCTTTTAATTGAAATAACTAGTAGTTGTGGTGTTGTGTGCTTATAATTTATAGGAAAGACTCTTCACATTTTCATGTTCTTTTTCCTGTTGAATCTCTTTTAATAGCCAAACCATGTTTTTTATATATTAAATTCTTGGTCAACTTGAGCAAAACTTTAGCAAAGAAACCAAAAACAAAGAGTCTGTTTCTGATTTGTGATTGCTAATTAAACTGGTTTCTGTGATGGACATTTTACTGTTGCTTTCACTGAAACCGAAAGAAAAAGTACTTTCAGCAAAAAGTGTGCTTAGCATCATTGAGTATCTCTGATTACACATCAGGGATGAAAACCTCCAGGAGGATTTGAACTGGTATTTGAGCACAAAAATCTAGAATTTATGTGAAACTTAAAAATACGTCTAAGGTCAATTGCAAAAAAAAAAAAATATTGTTTAGACATTTCATGGCAAGTATTAGAAACTCTACTTATAGAGTTAACAATAATAGAGTTGAATACTAAGTGCTCTGGATAAAGTTTGAGCAGAGTTCTTAAAATATTTCATTTATAATAAAGCCTTCTAACGCATCATGGAAATTTTTAAGGGAAGCACTGCTCATCTACAATAAAAATAATTTGATGACTTCATAGTCTACAGACTGACCTGGGTCAGGGAAAAAAAACCTATCTTTGAGAAATAGTTTTAGAGAATGATTGAAATATCATTTACTGGCCTAGTTTTTTTCTTGCATTTAAAATATTATGCTTCTGTCCTCCTTTTTCCCCCTTGCTGACTATAGAAAATCTCTCATAGCCTGGTGAGTAGGTTGCCCACCAATTATGCTACCCATTCATTTGGAAAAGATACAGTGCATTTCCATTTAGTTTTAGACAAGCATAAATCCATTTACTAAGCAGATTGATCTAGAATCTCCATGACCCACCAAATTGCTATAAGCTCTAGACAAGCTCTAGGTTTTCTTTAAACTCAGTCATGTCTCTTTTTAAGCTTCCCATAAGACTGAAAGTGGGGTTTCAAAATAAAAGACTAAGCTAGTTTTCTGGACTGAGAAATTCTGATGTCTCCCATTACAAAGTACACCTGTGATGTGCTTTGGGCTTTAGCATAACAGGGAAATTAGATGTAGTTTTTAAACATTCTAAAATCTATCTTAAATGATACTTGACCAACCTTTCAGACTAGTTAGTTGGAAATGCACTGTCACTTTTTCTGCATGCTTCACCAGAGGACGTGCCCAGGAATCCTCCAGAAACCCCTCCCTGTGAAGGCAAAGCGCTTTATGTGCCTGAATGCACATTAGTAGATCCTGCTGGTAGTTTGATAATACCTTCGACAGTGTCAGCAAAGACTTCTTTTCATATTTAAGTATATAAAGATATACAGCCTCCCAAGTTCTGTGGATTCACTTTCAGCTCCTTATAAAGGATACCTGTCACTTACTACCCAGGTTCAGGTTTCCCAAGAATATTTAGTCAATAAAAATGGTAGCTCTTGAATTAAGCAGAAAGCATGAAAGAAATAAAATAATATCCACCATCGAGAAGATGTTTTCTGTTTTGTACAGGGTTTCCACATGTATGCTATTACTTTCTTATCATCGTAGCCATGTGAGGTGGCTTCTGTTCTTAGCCTCACTTTTCCAGATGGGGAACCTGAAGCTCCCAGAGGCTGGGAGACCGGCTCACAAATGGCAGACCAAGGGGGGCAGTCAATGGAGAGCTTTTGTTTGGTGCTGTTCCTAGTATACATCACACTACTTCATGGGTCATGTTCCTTCCCCCTAATTCCTTAATACCAGCACAAATTGCTTTGTATTAAAGGTTTTTTAAATTAAGATTGGTAAAATACATAACCACTCTCATTTTCCTCCCTAGAATGCTAGCCATACTTTCCAAATAAAAACCACTATTCATGACCTAAATTAACTCTTGCTTATCTAAACTTAAAGAATAATGTCAGCTGCGAACCAAATGCTCTTGGGTTCCTTGCTTCTCTTAAGAGCAGTTTTGGGTAAGGAAAGCTAATTGGTAGAACACAGCCTTCCAAAGTGAGGCTGTTCCATGCTGGTTTGATAGCTGCTCATATGTTCGTTTTAAAGGATGTGTTAGTTTTCTTATTAATGGCAACAATAACAGAGTTATCAGACCTAGGCATTCATGTTACCTGGACTCCATTTTATACATCAAGAAATTGAGGTATAGAGAAGTTTCAGCAGCCTGCTCAGTGGCTTAACACCAACTAACCAAGAGTAGACCCCTCGTCTCCTGACTCAGTCCAGTGTTCGATGTTCGTTCTCCCTCCAATGCTATGTCTCTTCTTGTCACTCTAGAAATACGTCTAGTATCTGTCTCTGAACCACATATGTAGTTGAAATACTTGCTTTGTCTTGTCTGCCCACATGCTCTGGCATGTTGCTATTCATGTTCATTCCTGTTGCAGTTGTGTTAGTAGAGATAACAGTTTGTGATTACTCATAATACTTTTTTAAATTTTTATTAGAAAGCTGGAGCCTTGGAAGGTGTGCCAATATCTGGGGTAAGTTCCATCTCCCTGCTACCTCCTCGACCCTATCCCCTTCCGTGTTATGGGCTTCTTCCTACATCTTAATCAGTCTGCACCTTCCTAAACAATGGGGAAAAGGTAAAAGCAGCAAAATTGGCTATTTTTTGTTAGTAGGTGACACAGTATGGGCCACTGAGAATCTTTTGACTAAATTCTAACTCTTCCTTTCCATACCTACTATCTTGTAGGACATATTAAGAAATGGGAGAATGGCCAAATGGAAGCAATGCAGAAATCAAAACAGTTCACTCCTTGATAAATATAAAAGGAAAAATAAATCCTATGACTGATCTAAAAGGGAAATTAATAATATTGTCTTAGTGTTCTTTATTGTCATTTATGCTTTCAGTGTTTGGGGGACCAGTCTGCTGCATTGGTGGGACAAATGTGCTTCCAGGATGGAGAAGCCAAAAATACGTGAGTTTGAGAAACAGATCCAAAACCTGTGGTGTTTTGTTTATCTGTTTCTCCCTTTGATGTTTTGAATGAGAAAAATATGTTGAAGTTCATCCAGGCTGAAAATCAATAGCTTAAGAGTTCAATAAGTTTTTGCCATTCAGTTTTCTTTCTCTCCAAATAAAATACATTATGCTGTATATAAACACACTGCTAAGGCTTATAAAGACCTTAATTGGAGATCCCTGAATGGCTCAGCAGTTGGGCGCCTGCCTTCAGCCCAGGTCATGATCTTGGAGTCCCAGGATCGAGTCCCACATCGGGCTTCCTGCATGGAGCCTGCTTCTCCCTCTGCCTGTGTCTCTGCCTCTCTCTCTATCTCTCTCTGCATCTCTATGAATAAATAAATAAAATCTTTATAAAAAAGGCCTTAATTTATAAGATTCAATACTTTTTATATCCAGAAACTAAATTTTGGTGCTTTGTTTTGTTTTTAAAGATTTTATTTATTTATTTGACAAAAATGAGAGTCCACACAGGCAGAGGGAGAAGCAGGATTGTGATGTCTCTCACTTGCTATCTCTCTTAAATAAATAAAATCTTTAAAAAATTTTTTTTAATTTACAAACAATTTTATTTTTTTTAATTTTTTTTTACAAACAATTTTAAAAAGATAAAAATGAACTGTATTTCTCAACATACTGTTTCTGCTTAGACTTTCTCACTATAACTATTAAATTCTATTTTTGTGGGATTTTCAGTGCTGGCATTGTGCTTTCTCCCCATTACCCAGAGTTTCTCCTTTGACAAGAAGTAGAAGGAATGATGGAAGTAGAGATTTGGTGCATTTGTTTCCTAATCTCATCTCCTTACTACTGATACATGGGGAGTCTATAATAAGCCTAAGAGTGATTAAGCCTAAGGTTTCTGAAAACAGATGGTTAGAGTGGTTAAGCTAGTAAGTGAAAGAAGGGGCAGTCTTTGCTCCCGGATCCATCTGATTTGACTTAGCCAGGGCTCTTAACCATTCTATGTTACTGTACCCTGTGTAGAAAAGATTCCCATAGACCCAGCAGGAAACTATCTACATTTATTCTTTTTTAGAGGATTTCCTAATCCTCTCATCAATGTTAACCTCAGTGATGAAGTTCTTCTTTTGTAAATAATGGAATGTCTAACATTTTTTAAATATTTATTTATTATTTTATTATTTTTATTATTATATTTATTTTTATATATTATATTTATTTTATATATTATATTTATTTTTTATTATTGTTCATTGTTTTATTTATTTATTTATTTATTTATTTATTTATTTATTTATTTATTTATGAGAGACACAGAGAGAGAGAGGAAGAGATGTAGGCAGAGAGAGAAGCAGGCTCCGTGCAGGGAGCCTGATGTGGGACTCGATCCCGGGACTCCAGGATCACGCCTTGGGCCAAAGGCAGACACTTAGCTGCTGAGCCACCCAGGCATCCTGGAATGTCTGACCTTTTTTTAAAGATTTTATTTATTTATTTATGAGAGACACACGGAGAGAGGCAGAGACACAGCAGAAGGAAAAGCAGTCTCCATGCAGGAAGCCTGACATGGGACTCGATCCTGGGTCTCCAGGATCACGCCCTGGGTTGAAGGCGGCGCTAAACCGCTGAGCCACCTGGGCTGCCCACATATGACATTTTTAATGAAATGTTCTTGTGGTCTAGCACGGTCAGCAGTCCTCATGTGAGAGTTTGACATCATTTGTGAGAGATTTTTGGAGGGGGAGGAGAGATACGAAAGGTCATGGTATTCTGAGGTTATGACCAAGAGAGCTTGAATGAGCATGGGTATGGAAGCATACTCTTTGAATTCTGGCTTCCAAGCAGCTATACCAGGAGTCAAGAGAAATGTGTAAGAAATTAGGCTATTTCCTCTACACTGTTCCTCCTCTGCTACACACATTAATGCTAGTAAATCAGATGTGCTATTTGTCAAGTACCTAACACAGTGTAGAGCACATGGGAGGTACCCAATAAAATTGCTGGCTTTTCCTCCTCTTTCTGCTCCCTTCCCACTTAAGCATCATCAGCAAAGTCCTGGAATGATGAATTTAAGTGAGGCAGGGCTTATGGAATACCTCTGCAGCCACTGCAGCGTGGAGGAGGGAAATAGCAAACTGTAAGATCTTTGGGCTTGTATTTCACTTCCCAAGAGGAGACAAGACAAATACATAGTTAATCATATGAGAAGTCAGAACTTACATGCCATAGGAAACATTGAAATACTGCTTGGGTTTCAGAGGAGGAGGAGAGAAATCACAAAAGGTTATATTAATAATGAGATGTTTTGAAGAAGGAGCTATGCTAGTGAGGGCACAGAACACTGAACAAATATGCAAAGAGGTAAATGAAGACTCTGTTTAGAGAATGTAGAGAACATTCAGGTAGGGCAATGATAGAAAATAAGGCTAGGGTCATATTGTGAAGCCCAAAATTCCAGACTGAGGAGTTGTTTTTTTTGATTCGGCAGTGGGACACTTCTGAATGTTTATGAGCTGGTGTTCAGAGTGGCTAGAACTGTTCATTAATAATATCGAAGTTCTTGGCCAAAGTGAAGAGAGACTAGAGGCAAAGAGGCCATGTGGGCATCCTGGTTCCGAATACAAGGACTAAAAGTTAGGATGAGGCCAGAGAGGGAGGCTGTGGGTGGGTATCCAGGGCACTGTCCAGGGACAAGAGACAGGAAGTAGTTATGGGGTCTAGTCACCTTGGCCCTGTGGGTAGGCTTAGCCTACTATAAGGAACAGTTCTGAATGGTGTACTTTCTATTTGGGATGTGTTTATGGCTCTGGTAGGCTGTATATTGTCCACATTTGTTTTTTGTTTATTTTTTATTGTCCACATTTGTAAGTACGAAATGAGTTCAGTATAAAAGTAGAGATTTTTAATTTCCTTATATAGAGATGATTTTTGAAGAAGTAGGATTAGGCACAATTACCAAGAAAAAGTATACAGGTAGAAAAGACACAGGGATGGGAAGTTCATAAAAACAGAATGAAATTATTCATAAATCTAGAAATCCAGGGTAGAGATATTTAAGAGAGAAACTTGGTCAGCAGTGCAAAATACTACATAAAGGTCAGGAGGCTAAGAATCGAAGAGACCATTGTACATAGAAAGTAGGTCTTCAGTGGTGACTTCTAAGAATGAAGCTTTAGTAGAATGCTCAAGAGGAAAGCCGGGTGGCAAATAGCCAAAAGGGATGTGGGCCGGTAGAAAATAGAGACAGCAAGACAGAATGTAGTTTGCAAAAATGACCATCCAGAAGCTGTGAGCGAAGTAGGTGGTTTAAGTTAACAGCATCATGCCAAGCATGGGGCATTTTGTATGTGCTTTTAAGTTATAGTAAGACCAGAGAATGTTTCTTTGCAGGCTAAGTAGAGAACAGATGGGAGTTGTAAAATGAATAAGAGAGAAGCAATGGGCAGCAGTCCTAAGAGGTTGGAGAGGATGAAATTGAGAATTGAGTCAATCTCTTCCAACCTCAGCAGGGAGCAAATGACTGCCAAATCAGAATTGAGTGGAAAGCACATCTCTGTGTTGGTGCGGAGGGACAGATTGTGGATTATTCTAATTTTTCTCTTGGCTTGTCTATATTTTCTATTTTTTTCTTGCATGAACATGGATTATTTGAACATTTATTTTATTTTTTTTAAGATTTTATTTATTTATTCATGAGAGAGACACAGAGAGAGGCAGAGACATAGGCAGAGGGAGAAGCAGGCTCTATGCAGGGAGCCTGATGTGGGACTCGATCCCTGGACTCCAGGATCACACCTTGGGCCAAAGACAGGCGCTAAACCGCTGAGCTGCCCGGGCTGCCCTATTTGAACATTTAATTTTGCTTTTAAGGACAAGAACCTAAGATAGGTGCCCTCTCTCCCCAAAGGCCTTAAATATCCTAAAGGAGCCCTTGACCTCCCTCACGGCTTTGGCTGGAGCCACTCACCCTCCTCCTGTGTGCCAGCTTTGGCACACTCTTCCACAAGGGAGAGTGGGAAGCCATCACCTTCACAGAGGTTAGAAAAGTCAGACATCTTTCTGGGATTCAAACACAGTGCGATCTTGAGAAAGGATAGGTGGACCATATAAATGCTAAAAACTCCATATGTTTGATGACTGGGAAGAAAAAGTAATACAATTTCAGAGGAAAATAATTGCCTCTGTACTGCTTTGAAAGCTGTGGCCTGTATCTATCTAGAGTCTCCTCATACATTGATAATGTTCATTAATTACTTATGAAGTATACTAAGATAACAATTCACTTTTATTAAATGCCTTGAGCCTCTGCATCAAATTGGTACTCTGAGACTTGTGCACTACTGTTTGATAGGCAGGCTGTTTATATGGGGACTAGATTTAAAGACTTCTCCTTTAAAAAGCGTGCAACAGGTAATTTCCATTTTTAAGAATATTTATTAAAGGAGATTAACTTAAAATATATAGCTTTTTCAGCATCGTGGAAGTAAAAGACTATGGTGATTTATGTGTTTGCAGTTAGTAAATGTATTATTACCTGTACCTAGTGCTAGTTGGCTGGTGTCTTTAAAAACATAGGTACTTGTTAATCACGTACTCCCTGAATGTGTTGGCTGTTTGTCTACAGGCAGAGAATACATTTGCATGAAAAGAGGGTGTCTTGTGTGAATTCTTATTCATGACCTCAGTGCCTAAAAATGCGTGCTGGAAAAAATTGCACTCAGTTTCTGTTTTGCTCCACACCACTCATGACTGCTGACCTAGTGCTTACTGGTAGTAGCTTCTGCTGGGAACCCTCTGCCTGCCTCTGAACTGAGTGCTCCCCGCTCTCCTACCTGCTGGAATGTCAAAGAGCAGAGTAGCAAGGCCCATGAGGGGGCAATCCCAAACTTGGGCAGAATGGTTGTAGAGAGCCAAGCGTAACAGTCGCAGCCAGCTCAGTGGAAAACTGTTTCCCTGGGACCCTTCCCTGTATCACTTTGGATTACTTCTCTGCCTGGCACAAGTCAAAACTAGTCATTAATGTCCAAATGCCAGACTTGCTGCAGAGTCCAAAGCTTCTACTTATAAGGCAGCCATAAAATAAATTCAGTTCTTCCATGGCAGTCATGTTCCATTCTTGCTCTGACTGTCCTACCTGTTAAAATGCCCTAGCCTGCAGAGAGAATGGGAAAGCTAGGCCTTCAGTAGTTTTCCCCTCTGTGCCACTCTTGTCCCCAAGATCCATTTCTACTTACCCACGTTCTGGACCTAACCTCCCCTCCATGCCAGCAGACAACGTGTTTCTCAGCTCATGACTGTACTATTGATAGAGCTAAGCAGCCAGCCCCATTGGTGAGATACTCCATTCCACGTGGGTTAGTAGCAGCTTAACTGTGACTGGACACAGAATTTGTTGTACTTTGGTGACATTTTATCAACACAAAGTCCTGGGCTACAACTAGGCACTAAATATTTTTCCACTAGGATTGCACTAAGTACATATTCTTTTAGGCTTAGTCTTTAAAACGGTATTCCAAATGGAGTATGTGATGCTTGTTAACTTTTGGAACTTTTCTAAAAGTTTAAGATAATGACTTTTATTGTACATCAGGCTAAATGATTTATATTATTGACAATTCATGATTTATTTTTAATAAAATTGTCATATTGTTCATTCTTCCCCCAACTATAGGTATGGAACAGGCTGTTTCTTACTATGTAATACAGGCCGTAAGGTTGGTTTTTCCCAATTAAAAGATTGACAGTCTTCTTTAACTTCATATTAATGCCTGAGCATAATTTGCTATTGTTACTTATGATTCTGCAGATTTAGTTTGATTTTCATTAGGATTTAATTTAGAGCTCAGTAAAAATGATGAAAATCACTAAATTTAAATGACTAATAAGAACCATTTTAGGTTCTTTGAATTTTTTATGTGTGTTTTTGATTGTTGGTGGAATATCTATACTAGGACTGTGTCAAATTCTTAATGCAAATCTAATTTTGAACAAGGGATAACCATTTTGTACTATTGACATGAATTGTCCTTATTACTGGTAAATTGGACTCTTAAAGATTTATTTTTTAATTGTTACATATTTGTTGAATTATTTTGTACCAAGGTCATCTTAACCTTAAGAAATATTTTTCTGCTAGCTTTTTATATTCCTTGCTGCTGAAATATTTTTCTCTTTCCTACAGTGTGTATTTTCTGAGCATGGTCTTCTAACCACCGTGGCTTACAAGCTCGGCAGAGACAAACCCGTGTATTATGCATTGGAGGTAAGTACGTTTCAATCAATATGAGTAGTATGGCAAACAGAACCAGTGAAAATCATGGTGCTCTCCGATACCTTTTCTGGTAAATCTTAATATATGGGGCTGAAAAAACTCCATTTTTTTTCTTGGCATTTGGTTGAGTGGAAGGAACCCAGTACTGAGCTGGGGTCAGGACTCCCAGGAGATCTTTTTTTTTTTTTTTTTAAGATTTTATTTATTTATTTATTCATAGAGATGCAGAGAGAGAGAGAGACAGAGACACAGGCAGAGGGAGAAGCAGGCTCCATGCAGAGAGCCTGACGTGGGACTCGATCCCGGGACTCCAGGATCATGCCCTGGGCTGCAGGCGGCGCTAAACCGCTGCGCCACCGGGGCTGCCCCTCCCAGGAGATCTTGAGCATATCGGCTCCTTGGTTCTTTGACCAGTCCCTTGTAGCCATGTGGCAGTGTAAGATTTTCTGTGTCTGAAGTTTATCGAAGGTGTTGACTTGCTCTCCAGGTATTTCTGTCAACTGGAAAATTCTGTGTCTTAATAACTATGATGCCCCAGTGTTCTAAAGAGAACCACTGGGGGCAAAAGCAGAGGAACTCTATTCACAGGTCTCCCCATAAAAATAAATTTTGCATCCGATTTTGATATGGGAAAGAAAGTGAGAAGATTTATGCCATATTTCAGTGGAAGCATTTGTTTCAAACACATTTATAAATTCTAGTAGGAATATATCAAATCTAAGTCTGTAGGGCACAGTGAATTTATATTAGAAACATTAGTAATTTTTATTGGTAAGGTCAAAGAAGCAATACTCTTTTTATCAAATCGGATATAGTCTTTTTTTCTAAGATTTTATTTTTAAGTAATCTGTCTACATTCAGTGTGGGTCTCAAACTCAATCCCAAGTCACATATTTTACTGTTTTACTGACTGAGCCAGCCAGGTACGCCAGTCTTTTTTTCTTTTTTCTTTTTCTTTTCCTTTTTTTTTTTTTTTTTTTTTTGAGTATAGTTGACTCACAATGTTACATTACATTCAGGTGTACAGCTTAGTGACTTAACAGGCTTACATACTCTGCTCACCACAAGTGCAGCTCCCATCTGTCCCACACAGCACTGTTAAAAATTTCATTAACTGGGATCCCTGGGTGGCGCAGCGGTTTGGCGCCTGCCTTTGGCCCAGGGCGCGATCCTGGAGACCCGGGATCAAATCCCACGTCGGGCTCCCGGTGCATGGAGCCTGCTTCTCCCTCTGCCTGTGTCTCTGCCTCTCTCTCTCTCACTGTGTGCCTATCATAAACAAATAAAAATTTTAAAAAAAAAAATTTCATTAACTGTATTCCTTATACTGTGCCTCTTATTCCTGTGACTTATTGATTCCATAACTGGAAGCCTGTATCTCATTCTCCTTCACCCATTTCACCTATTCCCCACCCCCTCCCCTTAGATATCTTTCTTAAAAGCATCTCTTTACAATTCATTTTCATTGGTTCCCTTGTAATGTACAAATATACAATTGATCTGAAGGCTAACTGAGGCTTGTTCCCTAAAGTATCCAATAATAATTTGGTCACAAGTGTTAGACTTCTGTTTATAGTTCAAACATTTTATTAGTTGCTATGCCTAGAGCACAAAGAATTTATTTCCAATTTTTTCTTGCATCCTCCCGGCATAAGCACTGTACTCTCTCCCCTAACCCCTTCTCTGTAGATAATAGAAGCTTTGGGAAACACTTGCTCTGTCTAATAATGGTATCATATCATTTCTCAAAAGTAGAATTCCTATGAGCCCTGTCCTGCTCTGTTTCTACCTGCGGAAAGTACTTAGTACAGAGCTGGACACATTGAATATGTACTATTTGATAAATGTTACCTATAGCAATTAAGTATGCTGCTCTCTTTTTTCCTTATACTGGAGACAGTCATTTAGAATTAGAGATGCTGGGATCCCTGGGTGGCGCAGCAGTTTGGCGCCTGCCTTTGGCCCAGGGCGTGATCCTGGAGACACGGGATCGAATCCCACATCGGGCTCCCGGTGCATGGAGCCTGCTTCTCCCTCTGCCTATGTCTCTGCCTCTCTCTCTCTCTCTGTGACTATCATAAAATAAAAAATTAAAATTAAAATTAAAAAAAAGGGGGATCCCTGGGTGGCGCAGCGGTTTGGCGCCTGCCTTTGGCCCAGGGCGCGATCCTGGAGACCCGGGATCGAATCCCACGTCGGGCTCCCGGTGCATGGAGCCTGCTTCTCCCTCTGCCTGTGTCTCTGCCTCTCTCTCTTTCTCTGTGTGACTATCATAAATAAATAAAAATTTTAAAAAATCCATATTTAAAAAAATAAAATTAAATAAATTAAATTAAAAAAAAGAATTAGAGATGCTTTAGACCTGGAAAAGGCCTCTGGGATATGGCATATCTGGTCTTAACTTCCTCCCAACATGAAGAGCCTTCTCTTCTTTCCTTCACCGATAGCCCTCCAACTTCTGTTTGAAGATAGCACCAAAAACTGCTTCTTACTAATACCTCAACCACTAGACCTAGATTAGCTGTCAAGAGCATTCAAATACTAGCAGGCAGCTATCACTTTTTCTGGGTCTTTCTACTCCAGGATGAATTTCCTCATGCCCTAATGTCATATGGTTTCTGGATGCTTTCCAGTTCTGAACTCCCTTCGTTAGATGCATTCCAATCTGTCAGACTCTTCCAGAATGGAATAGAATGTAATCTGACCTGTACTGACTAGTCTGATTTATTCCTCTCTGACCATAAACACTGCTTCAGCTACTGTAGCCTGAGAATTCATTAACTTAGTCTAATAACCCCATCATATCATTGGCTCTAGGAGCATGTGTTAAAATATCTCTTACCAAAAAAAAAAAAAAAATCTGGCTCTTTTTCAAATGATTCATTGTCATGCCAAGTCCTCTCCATTCTGTATTTGTACAGATCTTTTTATTTTTCCCCTTTTAAGTAATCTCTACACCCAATGTGGGGCTTGAGCTCATGACCCCGAGATTAAGAGTCAAATGCTCTATAGACTGAGCTAGCCAGGCACCCCTGCAGATCTTTTGTTAATCTAAATGCAGGTCTTTGGGCACTGAGGGGGGCACTTGATGGGATGAGCACTGGGTGTTATTCTGTATGTTGGCAAATTGAACACCAATAAAAAATACATCTATTATTAAAAAAAATTAAAAAAATAAATGCAGGTCTTTGTGGGGGATCCCTGGGTGGCTCAGCAGTTTAGTGCCTGCCTTGGCCCAGGGTGTGATCCTGGAGTCCCAGGATCAAGTCCTGCGTCAGGCTCCCTGCATGGAGCCTGCTTCTCCCTCTGCCTGTGTCTCTGCCTCTCTCTCGCTCTCTCTCTGTATCTCATGAATAAATAAAAATCTTTTTTTAAAAATTTTAAAAAAATAAATTCACGTCTTTGCTTCTTCCTGTCAAATTTCATGATAGTAATTTCAGCCTATACTGACACACTCTGGATTCTTTTTCAGTCTTTGCTCTGTTACTTTTCCCATTTTGCCTCATCTAGAAACTTAACAAGCATATGCTTTATGATTTTGTTTCGATTCATGTAACTTTTTTAAAAAGATTTTATTTATTTATTCATGAGAGACACACAGAGAGAGACTCAGAGACACAAGCAGGCTCCATGCAGGGAGCCCAACGTGGGACTCGATCCCGGGTCTCCAGGATCACACCCCGGGCTGCAGTCAGCGCTAAACTGCTGCGCCACGGGGGCTGCCCTCATGTAACTTTTTTAAAAAATTAATAGAATTTTAAATCTGAGAGGAACAGTAGATTAGACTGGCAAACAAGCTTTGTTATGTTCTCATAAGGCCTTTGAGAGTAGGAAGTGAAATCAAAGTTACTTGGCTATGGTAACTTTTGATAGCTAGTAAGTAGCAGATCCAGGATGCAAATTCAGGCTTTTGGACTCAAAATCTAGACACCTGGCCAGCACTATGCCATCACCAGTCTCCCGAGTCGAGTTGTTCTTTTTATTGCATCTCAGATATGTCACTTTCTTTGTCTCCTCACCTAGCAGCCTGCCTGAGCCACAACATATACACTTAAACAGATGGTGAACATGGACACTTACAGTAGTAGATAGGATTTTTCCTGTATTTTCTAACATTTTGTTCCAACTAACAGACATGTAAAAAAAAATTGAACCAAACCAGAAAAGAGGGCAAAGCATAAAGCTACATTGGTAAAACTTTTTCTCAGTAAATTCCTGCTAATTCCACTTGGTCACACCACTTCCACTTTTTGTAAGTAGTGTGACCAAGTGTATATTTACACTTATTTATATATACACTGACAAAGTGTATATTTAATAATCATTTTTTAATTAGGTTGTTAGGTTTGGCAATCTGAGGCATTAAAAATTTACTTTCCCTTTTTTATTTTTATTTATTTATTTTTTTTAAAGATTTTATTATTTATTTATTTATTCATGATAGTCACAGAGAGAGAGAGAGAGGCAGAGACACAGGCAGAGGGAGAAGCAGGCTCCATGCAGGGAGCCCGATGTGGGATTCGATCCTGGGTCTCCAGGATCGCGCCCTGGGCCAAAGGCAGGCGCCAAACCGCTGCGCCACCCAGGGATCCCTCCCTTTTTTAAAAACTAATATTATAACTGCCCATCTTAGGTCTTAATCTTGCATTCTCCCTGTGCTGATTTGGAAGCAACATCATGTGTTTCCTATTGTTGTTGTTGTTGTTTTGGGTTTCTTTTCTTTTGTGGGCACCTTAAAATTTTTTTAATATTATTTAACTATAGGGTACTTGGTGGCTCAGTCGGTAGAGCCTCCAACTCGATCTCAGGGTCATGAGTTCAAGCCCCACATTGGATGTAGAGCCTACTTAAAAAAATATATTATTTAGCTATATATTTTCCTAGCAGTGTTGATAGTTGTTTAGTAATTTTAATGTCCCACCCATGATGATGACCTCAAATGCTTTTCCTCTGTTACCTCTGCCAGCAATCCTGTCATTGAGTTTAAAGTA